TTGAGACTGATCACAAGGCGTCTAAAATGTGTGCTTTTTTCCAACTGCCATGAAGTGATATAAAATGCTATGATATATTGATATAATGATATATTACAAGGGAGATAATGTAAGAGTAGCTAAACATCAAAGAAAAGAGTTTATTCGCGAATGCACAACTTGTTATTGAAGGAATTTTCAATAAGTTCTATCGATTTTCCTTCTATGTCAGGGTCAAGAATTGGGCTTTTCTCAATTACTTCTTTGCATATAAAATTAAAGATAACGGAGAAAAATCATGGTTTTCAACTTGCAATCACTGAAAACGTGAGAAAATGTGTTCATTTTCGCCAAGTGTTAAATGAAATTTACTGTATTAAATATGAAAGAGGATGAATTATCTGAATATTTTATATTTGCGATACAGAAGTTTCTGTGAATAAATTTATAATGATATCGATTTAGTTTTGCTGTTTCGTCAATATATCGTATCACTTACTCTTCGACGTCATGTAAATCAATTCACAGTAATTGTACCACAAATTGTCCTCAGTTTTCAAATTGATTTGCAGATTCAAGAGTATCGCCTCCGAAAACGGAGGCTAAAGGACGATCAGGATGGAAATTACCTCAAATTTATATGTGCTCTATAGTTGCAGATTATAGTTGCACTTGCATTTTATCAGTTTTCCTGTAATCTAAATTGTTGATCATTGTTGGCGTAGAAAATTTATGTGTTCAAGTGGTTCAAGCAAAATTTATTTCGTAATTTTTCTTCTTATACAGTTTTGAAATTAAAACTAAAATATATTGAACTGAAATATGTATTATATGCATACTTATGTGCGAAGTATATTAGTTCTGACGGTGATTTTCATGCATTATTGTTTGTTTATTCATTCTTTTGAAATTTTACTATTTCTTCATTGTGATAATACAGATGATAACAAGTAAATTTTAAAATTGTTCTTCTGACAATAAAATCATCGGAATCCTCATAATATTTGGTTAAATAGGAAAAATGATTTAACAACTAAATTTACATAATTAAGCATAAATCTACATCTTTTCTACGACAAGAGCTGAACTGAAAATTTCATTTGCTTAAAGAATACAATATTGTACAATAAGAAATGGCCAATTTCATGATCTTGAGGAACGCATTCAAGTGCACATGGTACATTCCGGCTGCTTTCAGTCCGAAATCCTTCTGCGCCATCGCGAGGATGAGAAGAAACGTCTTCTGATCCTTCACGCTCAATTCGTACCAATTTGTGAGGTAAAGAGTCTCCGAAAGTCGCTCCGTTTTAATCTTCAGAAGTTCACCAAAGATACAAAGAAGTAAAATTTGACTGATTCCCATAGGACACATTACATATACTGCAATTTGATCGTTTTCCTTGAGCAATAATGTAAACATAAACATTAGAAGCAATGTACTGCTCGTGACTTGAACAAATGCCGTCTTCTGAATGGCACCGTTGAACAAATTCACTTTGTTAATCATATCATTGTGGCGAATGATGATTAGCTTAAGATAATTCGGAATTTCCTTAACCTCCTTGTCAATCAGTTTCATGTAATCATTGAGAATATTCAGAGCTGCCATAATTTGAATTCCAATGAAAATCACTGCCAAATCAATCACGATAATAGAAAGTCCGGTTATTGAATTAATTATAATCTGTAGAACGTAAATTACATCGTCAGAAACTGTGTTCAATCCAGGAATTTGCATTAACAATCCTAATTCGCTGTTCGGTGTAATTGACACTGTGACTCCGAATGTAGATAAGATGAACAGTCGTCTTCCCCATCTAAAAGAATTATGCTGAAAAATTCAAAAACATTTCAAACTCTATGCAAAATTCCTCACTTGGTCAGAAACTTCCAAATTTCCAGCGATCGAATCAAGTGCTTTTCCAAGATGATCTGAAGATCAGGATCAGTTTCTTGTTCGTTGTAGAGAGACTCAATCCATTTGCGAAGATCAAGAAAATGCTGACGTTCAAGAACGCCAAGAACGAACTTCGAAGCAACTTGCAAATACGCGATGAAAAACATAATTGTCGTAATCAGATTCATGTTCAATTCCATTGATAGAGAATAAAATACGCGAGTCCTTATGAAGATTGTTGCACTGAAACAAGAGAACACTAAAATTGCAATCAAGAGGCGATTTTTCCACGGTCCGGAAAAGACGTTAATCGTCAAAGCGGAGATTTGAAAATCAAACACTGATTTTTCACAGTTGAACTTCTCCAATTGCTTGGAAACTTTCATTTTTCTTGAACTGAATTGAAAATCCTTCCGCTGAGCTCTGCAGTTGCACTTAAACTGAAAAGTTGTCCTGAAACTAAACTGAGGCGAAATTGTGTTCTTTTTCCCACATCGTAAAGTGATATAAAAATGCTTTTAATTGCGAAACACACAATTAATGCTCAATTATCCGAACATCAAAGAGAAGAAGAAAAATGTGAAAAATACTGAAAGAATTCTTAATAGATTCTATTGATTTTACTGCTACTTCAGGATCGAAATATCTTACACAATTGTTTCAATATTTCTTTCCATATGAACACTGGACTTAAATTTGAGAGTTTAGAAACTAGAGAATATTGTTTGTCCTGTTTTTTTCTTTGATATAGCAGAAAAGAGTCGACTCTGCTGATGGAATTACTGGAATTTATGCTTGTCGCGAGAGTTTAGGAAAAGCTCTGAATATGCTGTAAGAGGACAAGGCTGAGTGGCCCTTAAGAAAAGGCTTACTTATCCTGCTCAAAGCAAAGTATTTATTTTATTCACTGAATTAACAGGATTTTTGTACACATAAAACAATTATTTGCGTAATTGGTAATGAAAATTTGTATTTGTAATTGTATTTGATCAGTGCAAATGCATTTCAGTGCACTTATACATCTCTATTACGTCTTAAGCACCTTTAGTAATCTATTAAAATGGCCAGAAACACATCCTCAGCGTGGATCAAATAAGTTTTTACTGTCAATAAGAACAATATATAGTATTCATTTGATCAAAGCATACAAAGTTGCGCAATAAGAGAAAGCCAATTTCATGATCTTGAGGAACGCATTCAAGTTCACGTCGTACATTCCGGCTGCTTTCAGTCCGAAATCCTTCTGCGCCATCGCGAGGATGAGAAGAAACGTCTTCTGATCCTTCACGCTCAATTCATACCAATTTGTGAGGTAAAGAGTCGCCGAAAGTCGCTCGGTTTTCATCTTGATAAACTCACCGAACAAACACAGAAGTAAAATTTGAAAAATTCCAGCAACACAAAATATGTATGCTGTAATTTCATTGCTCTCCTTAAGCAAGAACACGAACATAAAAATTAGAAGCAAAGCACTGCTCGTGACCTGAACAAATCCTGTCTTCTGAATGGCACCGTTGAACAAATTCACTTTGTTAATCATATCATTGTGGCGAATGATGATTAGCTTAAGATAATTCGGAATTTCCTTAACCTTCTTATCAATTAGTTTCATGTAATCGTTGAGAATGTTCAGAGCTGCCATAATTTGAATTCCAATGAAAATCACTGCCAAATCAATCGTAACAAGATTAGTTGTAGAAATTGTAAGTAAAATCGTTTGGATAACGAAAGTGACTTCGTCCGAAATTCTCTTCGGTCCCAGAATTTGCATGAACAATCCCAAGTTGCTATTCGGTGTCAATGTAAATGAGCAAAGTAAGCAATCACACAAGAAGAATCGCAATCCCCATCTGAAAGATGTTTTCAATATGAATTAAAGATTTCAAATTTCCTGCAGATTTTCTCACTTGGTCAAAAACTTCCAAATCTCGAGAGATCGAATCAAATGCTTTTCCAAGATGATCTGAAGATCAGGATCAGTTTCTTGTTCGCTGTAGAGAGACTCAATCCATTTGCGAAGATTAAGAAAATGCTGACGTTCAATGAAGCCAATAACAGATTTCGAAACAATTTGCAAATACGCGATGAAAAACATAATTGTCGTAATCATATTCAAGTTCAATTCCATTGATAGAGAATAATATTGACGAGTGCTCGTGAAGATTAATCCAAGGAAACAAGAAAACACTAAAATTGCAATCAAGAGGCGATTTTTCCACGGCCCAGAAAAAATGTTGATCGTCAAAGCGGAGATTTGGAAATCAAACACTGATTTTTCACTGTTGAACTTCTCCAATTGCTTGGAAACTTTCATTTTGCGACCTCGAAGTGAAAATCCTTCCAACAAGTTTTATGGTTGCTGATAAACTGACAATTCGTTCGGAAATTTGAGTGAAGAACTTCTTGGAAATCAATTTTTTTCCCGCGTCGTAAATAATTGATGAAATTCTTTAAATAATTTGATTTGTGTTATTTTTCTAATAAATCTTGCACTGAATTGAAAATCCTTCCGCTGAGCTCTGCAGTTGCACTTAAACTGAAAAATTGTCCTGAAACTAAACTGAGGCGAAATTGTGTTCTTTTTCCCACATCGTAAAGTGATATAATTGCGAAACACACAATTAATGCTCAATTATCCGGAACAACAAAGTGAAGGTGAAAAATGTGAAAAATACTGAAAGAATTCTTAATAGATTCTATTGATTTTACTGCTACTTCAGGATCAAAATAGCTTGACTTGTCCCACTTTACATACACTTTAATTTTATTTTCCTACTTCTGTATTTGAAGATCAAGTGATTCATTATTCGAAGCTCTTGTAAGTCATTATAATCTACATAAATCTACAAATTGACATTTCTTGCAGCTAATCTTACACGTGCTTAAAGTTTTTACCACTTAAATTTTCGTTACTGATAATAGGTTTATTATATTAATCACGCGTTGGCATTTCGAGTGTTGCGAACTCAAATTGCGAGTTTTAGAGCACATGTTAGAAAAAATCAATTCGTTCCCACTTAAGAGTTTATCAGCTTGTGATGACACATCTAGAAGATGCAAAAATGCACTTCAAAACCATCCGTTTACCTATAAATTTCGTGACCGGGACATTGTGAAAATCAGTCTAAGTTCGGTGTTTTGTGCAGCATAATGATTCGCTCGGTGGTGTTTTGCGTGCTGTTTGTGGCGGTTTTCGGCGCCAATTTGAAGTCTTATCCAAAGCCGCGTCTCGACGGCAGGATCGCGGGTGGCTATGAAATCGATATCGAAGATGCTCCGCATCAAGTGTCGCTTCAGTGGCCTGACCACGTGTGCGGTGGTTCAATCCTGAGCGAGACATTCGTCCTGACGGCCGCTCATTGCACTTAGTAAGAACACAAGTTCGCCTGCGCAATTGGGAAGTGCTCCAACTCTCTCTCTCTCTCTCTCTCTCTCTCTTTCTGCAGTGGCGTGGATGTCGAGGATCTGACTCTGCGGGTCGGTTCCAGCTATCACGCTAGCGAGGGTCAAGTGGTGAAGGTAAAGAGATCTATCCTGCATCCCGAATACGAGCGCATTACCATCAATTACGACTTCTCCCTGCTGGAGCTGGAGGAGCCGCTGCAGTTCAGCGACGTGTGCCAGCCAATCGCTCTGCCAGAGCAGGATCAGGACGTCGAGGAAGGTGCCCTGCTGCTGGTTTCCGGCTGGGGACTCACTTACAACCCTAAGAACCGTGAAGAGTCCAATGACAAATTGCGCGCCGTCATTGTGCCCAAGGTCAATGACGAATACTGCAACGCGGCGTACAGCCAGTGGTCAGGCATCACGGAGGCGATGATCTGCGCCGGCTACGAGGAGGGCGGTAAGGACGCGTGCCTGGGAGACTCCGGCGGCCCTCTGGTGCAGAACGAGACTCTCATGGGAGTCGTCTCGTGGGGATTTGGCTGCGCACAGGCAGGATATCCAGGCGTCTATGCGCGCGTCGCGTCGGTGCGCGATTGGGTGAAGCAGGAAACGAATCTCTGAACTTCTAGTGATTGATTGATTTGATTAAATATCTCTTTCCATATAAACACTGGACTTTAATGTGAGTGTTTAGAGACCAAAGAATATTGTCTATTCTGTTTCTTTTTTGATATGACAGAGAAGAGTCGACTCTGCTGATGGAATTTCTGCTTGTCGCGAGAGTTTAGGAAAAGCTCTGAATGTGCTGCAAGAGGACAAGGCTGAGTGGTTCTTAAGAAAAAGGCTTAATTATCCTGCTCAAAGCAAAGTATTTATTTTATTCACAAAGTACAGGATTTTTGAACACATAAAACAATTATTTGCGTAATCGGTGATGAAAATTTGTATTTGTAATTGTATTTGATCAGTGCAAATGCATTTCAGTGCACTTATACATCTCTATTACGTCTTAAGCACCTTTAGTAATCTATTAAAATGGCCAGAAACACATCCTCAGCGTGGATCAAATAAGTTTTTACTGTTTAATCGAACAATATATAGTATTCATTTGATCAAAGCATACAAAGTTGCGCAATAAGAGAAAGCTAATTTCATGATCTTGAGGAACGCATTCAAGTTCACGTCGTACATTCCGGCTGCTTTCAGTCCGAAATCCTTCTGCGCCATCGCGAGGATGAGAAGAAACGTCTTCTGATCCTTCACGCTCAATTCATACCAATTTGTGAGGTAAAGAGTCGCCGAAAGTCGCTCGGTTTTCATCTTAATAAACTCACCGAACAAACACAGAAGTAAAATTTGAAAAATTCCAGCAACACAAAATATGTATGCTGTAATTTCACTGCTCTCCTTAAGCAAGAACACGAACATAAAAATTAGAAGCAAAGCACTGCTCGTGACCTGAACAAATCCTGTCTTCTGAATGGCATCGTTGAACAAATTCACTTTGTTTAGAATATCATTGTGACGAATGATGATAAACTTGAGATAATTCGGAACTTCCTTAACCTTCTTATCAATCAGTTTCATGTAATCGTTGAGAATGTTCAGAGCTGCCATAATTTGAATGCCAATGAAAATTACCGCCAAATCAATCGTAACAAGATTAGTTGTAGAAATTGTAAGTAAAATCGTTTGGATAACGAAAGTGACTTCGTCCGAAATTATGTTCGGTCCCAGAATTTGCATGAACAATCCCAAGTTGCTATTCGGTGTCAATGTAAATGAGCAAACTATGCAATCACCCAGGAAGAATCGCAATCCCCATCTGAAAGACGTTTTCAATATGAATGAAAGATTTCAAATTTCCTGCAGATTTTCTCACTTGGTCAAAAACTTCCAAATCTCGAGAGATCGAATCAAATGCTTTTCCAAGATGATCTGAAGATCAGGATCAATTTCTTGTTCGTCGTAGAGAGATTCAATCCATTTGCGAAGATCAAGAAAATGCTGACGTTCAATGAAGCCAATAACAGATTTCGAAACAATTTGCAAATAAGCGATGAAAAACATAATTGTCGTAATCATATTCATGTTCAATTCCATTGATAGAGAATAAAATTGACGAGTGCTCGTGAAGATTAATCCAAGGAAACAAGAAAACACAAAAATTGCAATCAAGAGGCGATTTTTCCACGGCCCAGAAAAAATGTTGATCGTCAAAGCGGAGATTTGGAAACCAAACACTGATTTTTCACAGTTGAACTTCTCCAATTGCTTGGAAACTTTCATTTTGCGACCTCAAGCGAAAATCCTTCCGTAGAGTTTAACGATTGTTTAGAAACTGAAAAGCTGCCCTGATGCGAAGTGAAGGATATGCATAAAATTTTATACTTTCATTGTATGAATAAAATATCAACGACGAGCTGAGTATCGTAAAACTTTAATGCTAAACTAATTATGCCCTTCATTGGATTTTCAATATGTTTTATTAAAGACAAGGCAATGAGGTCAATAATTAGCCGAACAGCAAGGATTTGCGACACTCCACTTTTCACTCGACTATAATTTCTATTTTATCGATTTTTCTTATATCGATTTACTTTCATAGACTGCAATGTAACTTTCTCATTCGGTTCTTCCTTTTCTGTGCATTATTTCTTTCTGTGTAAAATTTGTACTTCAGATCATGCTTAAGTGATCGTGAAACTTCAGAGTTATTTTTCCTTCCTTCTTTATTCTTCTACTTGAACAGCAACAATGGAATAGTGCTATGATTCACATTCTGGATGAATTTCACTTCAACTCCTCTCAGGAACACAGCGTCGCAAAATCTCCCGTCGACTTTCGCCACTTCGTCACAATTCGTGGCCAAATTGATTCTGTACCACTGACAGGAGTTTACTCTGAGCACGTCCTGGAAGATGAGGAAGAGCAGCTTGTACCTCTGGCCATGCCTCATCTGATGCCCTCCTTCGATGGTGGGAAATGAGTCGTCCTTCCAACCGGCATCCGTGTTTGTCTGCACCTTTATTACACCGTGAATGGCGTGATCGAAGCTCTCGTGCACGAGAATCCCAATACCAGACACGAAGAAGTCCACCGTCCCGAGAACCTTGAACGTCATACTGAGATTCTCGGGCTTCTCCGCAGTTCCGAAAATCGTGGTGAATTGCGAGACGACGTGAAGAGTGCTTGCGCCACTGGACAGAATCTTGGGCAGTCGCATGCGCGCCTCCTTGGGAAAGGGAGTTCTGTTCGCCACCCCGGCAATGGCCAGGTTGACTTCGTGCACCTCCTCGGCGCTAAGAATGTCCGGATACTCGTCCAATGATTGCCTGAACTCCGAGCTTGTCATGGCAGGGAAACGGATGAGTTGCAGTAAATCTCCGAGAGTCTCCCTTCTGCCTCTGTCGCCACGCTGTGAATCAATCCACTTAATTATCACCCCCAGCAATTCACTTTCAGTCACTCTAATTGATTCCATCTCCAGCAGCAATTTAACACCACCCCTAGACAGCCCCGAGAAGTCCACCCGACGGAAGACGCTGTCGGAGTTGGAGATGAAGTCGAGGAGTTTCGCTCTCAGACTCTCATCCTCGAGCACGTTCACAGAGTGGCCAAAGTATGTCCAAATGTTGCAGTCTGTGAGTGTCTTGAGGATATATTCGCCGCACAATTCACTCAGCTGATTCATCTCGTACATATTCGCCAATTTCATCAGGCCAAAGGCAATTTCCGGACACAAATTCACGTCCAATGTGTAGATGAAGGTGAGAAAGGCGTCAAAGTGGAGAGAATCGATGTCCCTGAGTTCGTACACTGCAAAAAAGCCTTTCTCAGCTCTCGATCTGCACCATATGTTTGAATCTAACTCACCCGTTTCCTCGCCGCATTTGCCGTCATCTCGGGAAAACTCCCGAGCGAAGCGCGGACTTGCGAGTGAGAGGATTAATTTATGAGCGGGTATTGCGATGCCTTGCGGCTGCAGCTTGAAAACCACATCAGCTCTGAATGCGCTTCCTTTTAGCCGCTGAAATCGACCGCAGAGCGTGCGTTCGCAGTCCATTCGCTTGAGCAACTTGGCCAGAACTGCGAGATAACTGAAACAGAGTACCTAATTACGACACGTACTCGTGATAAGAGATAAGATTAATTGCGGTGTGATAAGAGAAGCGACAGATAGACTGTCTGCGGCTGCGAACAGCTCAGTATTGCTCACCGCCAATAACTAATCATCGCTCTTAATTAAGCCTAATTGCAGTCCGAGCTCTCTCTCTCTCGCTCATTCTCTGCAAGTGAACCACATTTTCGCGGTCGGGACTTCGCAATTTCCCGCATGTTTTGGGGTGAAACCACATAATCAACCATTTCCTTTGTCGCCAGCACGCTCTGCAATACATCACATTGTCCTGTCTCCTGGCTGCAATATTGCAATTGATTGCAATTGATGGTGTCAAAAAGCCCCAAAAATAGACTGTGATAGTGACAAAATGCATTCAAGAGAGAATCATTTAAATTCACAGAGAAGGAAAATCTCTTCGTGTAATCATCTCAATTTCCCTCCACAACGAAGTGGCGAGAAAGCCGCGCAAGCGGAGTTGGAAGAAAAAAAAAGTCCAATTAATATTGGTGTCATGTAGAAAATATAAATTTCCACCCCGCACGGGCGGCAGATGAGAGGGATTTGGAGAAAAGCCGGAAGAATGGCCAAGTGGGTGGGCGAGTGCCAAATGCACATTCCACCCGGCCAGGAATTCATGGGGCGACCAAAAAGTAAATACAATCGAGCCACGAAAGCGCACACAACAAAACCCAGCGTTGCGGTGGCGATTTATGATCCTTCGACGCCGGGACTTCTTCGCTGTGCGGTTTGCCTGTCTTGATTTCTGGGTTTTCTGGGTGACCCGCTGGCGAATTCTTCAAATTGTGCGCCTTAAAGCTCAATCGCCATTTCTGGTATTGTTAAAATCTGAACAAAATGAGTGGGATTTATCCCACTATGCTTATTAAAGGATATATGCTCAGTTGAACTGAGCATATATCCTATATATTGGCTCTCTGAAACAGACTTTTATACCGTAAAAGAATTCATTTAGTCAATTCACTTATAGTTGCTCAAAAAAATGGCAGTTTTTCTTACATCAACTGTCAGTAAATCAGCATTTTTCGCTGTTTTTGATTTCTCCTTTCTTTCCTGCTGCTCTGCACACAGTGGACAGTAGAAAGATCTGTTCTTTCTCACTTATGCCACTCATTATCATTGGTTTTCCCCGTTTTCCAAATCTGACAGTGTGATCAACTGAGCAAATCATACTTTATCGTAGTGAAATCTGTTTAAACTTATTATGGAGATTTTGAATAATAACAATAATATTCCCTTCATTATCTGACAATATGATATTACATATAATATTATCGATTTTGTCAGTTGATTTCAAAGGGAAAAGTGTCATAAAATTATTGAAAATAATTTTAAAAATTATATATTTAATTAGTAACTCATGGAATATGGGTATAAAACAGAGATGAAATCGGTTAAATGATATTTCGACGTACTTTTGATGTTGAGAACATATTCAATGCATTTCCCGCTTGCACATGACGCAATAAGGATTCCACTGCGAAATGTCCTGACGATGATTGTATCTGACAAACTGCTAAAAGACTCCTTCAATTGGAAAATTCATGCGGACAGTTAGAGACGCAACTCATGGTCTATCAACTTCCAATTACCTGTTTTCAGACGCGCCGCATTTCCCTAAGCTCCGTCACACACTATTGACATATCACCTGGCGTGGGTGGCGAATCGTGTCTCTGTGGCGCTCCTGATTGCATGGCAGCGTGCATTAGCACTTTGTGACGGTCCAAAAGGACGGTTTCCATCTCTGTGGCCATGCAAATATTTGTCGCATGAGCCTTGGAAGGTGTCCAAGAGTCTGTCTCGTGGTGGAAGTGAGTCATTTATCACTGGACAATTTCGCCACGAATTGGAGCATGAACGGCCTCCAGGACTGTGGAATCTTTCACCAATTGCCTCATCTCCAAGAGCGCTGACAAAATTGGTATTTTACCAGTCTTTTTCTGGGTGTCTCACTCACCCATTTGGTGGCGCTCCAACTCAGCCTCCTCATGATTGTGGCTTTGACCTCCATTCTGCTCTTGCTCTCTCTCGCTTGCAAATGCGGGATGGGCGACAAAACAAGAGCATATGAATGGCATGGATGTTGATTTACGATCAATTTTCGTGGGCAAAACAAAATGAAAATCACACTGTTGAGAGATTTGTGTGTGATAAAGAGTGACAGTGCGTGGAATGAGAAATGTGACGACAGAGGAATAAATACAGTCGGTAAATATCGAGGGGTTAACTTGGGGAGATCATCGAGAGCGTCTTAGTCTTGAGCGTGGACACCCAGGCAAGATGCAGTGTCTTCGGTAAATCAGTCTTATAGTCCGTGCGAGGCTGATATAAATGGATCCCCCTGAAACATGATAGTTTTTCCGGACTCTCTCGGGTTAAATATTGACGGTACGCCTCCCAATTGTTGCTGATTCAGCACACTTTATTCCAAAAGAATTGTGATCTCGCCAGCGGTGTGGGGCGACTTCGCCCCCCGAGGCGGAATACCCTTGCAGTGCCCAATGACAAAGGAGAGAGTGAGTGGTGTTTTATACTGAGATAAAAGACGCAGTCAATATTAGCTCTTGAAGATGATGTCTCACACTATTTGTGAGCAAGAGATTTTTATCCAAATCATCCCCCGAAATTCTCGGTGCCTCTTTTCCGGCCGATGGGAAAGGGTGGCTTTTTGCGGGAGACGAGGGGTTTGAGGGCGAGACAAACACACTGGGCTGAATTCCTCGTGAGATCTCTCAGCCTCAATTTCCATCCTCCCTCTCTCTCTCTCACTCTTTGTCGCCTGTGCGACTTGAGGGTAATTTTGATCTTGAAGGAAAATGGCTAAGAAAAGCCATTCTCATGCGATACTGATAAGTTGATATGTTGGTCTTTCTTGCCTCGTGCATTGCCAAGATAAGGACACATCCTCCAAGTTGTCGTGAGGGTGGAAAAAAAGGCGATGGCTCTGGCGATATCCTCAAATCACAATTCACCGTCTTTTCCACGCGCGATAATGATTCTCAACACCCAGAAAATGACAATGAAAGTGCCTGATAATTCCCTCTCAGTGATCATCAGTGGCAACATTGATGCAAGTGTTGGGGAAATTCGCCACTAATTTGGATTAATGGACCATTTACTAGATTTTGTGGCATTTCATTCAAAACACAAATTAGTTGCATGGAAAATTATCGGGTGAATATTGCACTAAACCGCTTGATGGGAGAGCTTTAAAGGGTGAAAAGCGAGTGATTAGAGGTGAATTTCCTGGTTAGGAATTAATCAATGTTTGCCAGATGACTTAATGGAACTTTCTTCTCTCACTAATTGTACTTCAGTTTAAGGAATTATTCTAAGATGTTCGCAAAATTGTCTGGAAAACTTTGTATCATTTCTCAAGAACAAATTGCCAACCGTCCTTAAAGTTGACAGAATTTCCAGAAATCTCAGAAATTCTATTCAAGACAAGGATTGCTTCAAGTCTCACTGTCGCCACAATTACTTCATGCTTCTAAGAAGCCACGGGTGGCCTCGTGAAAATTGCAGCAAGTTGGCACAATTGGGTGGGTGGAAAAATGCACCCAGGCACACAATAAACTTCTCTCCATATCATGGGAAAATGTGAATTGCACAAAATGCCTCTGCTTTTCATAAATCTCCAACTCACTGACTTGCCCACAATCTCGCACTCCTCGCCAGATCTCAAATGTCTTGAGCCTTAATTAACTCTCCGGCACAGAATTCTTGAGATGAGCCCATAAGAGATTTTAATGAACTTTCTGCTAACCTCTTCCGCAGGGATGCGTTGTGATGCTGAGCTTTGGGTGGATTGCATGTCTCACGGTGTTTGGAATGCTGGTGCTTCCCAAAGGTGAGTCAGCTTCGTAATCTCAGTCCGGCGAATGACGGACATGCTCTGCCCCATTTCAGGTTATTACTACAATTCGACGGGTCTGCTGGCGTGCGAGCCCTTCTACAGTCGCGCCTCCTTCCGCATTCTCGCCACTTGTGCCCTCTACTTCCCCACCACGATGGTGCTCATGTACTGCTATGGCTCCAGCTTCCACACGAGCCGCCTCAGGCTCACCTGTGAATCCAACAAATCGCCCCAGGAAGCACCTGAGCCGCAAACCAGCGTCACGATAATCACAGAGAAAGTGAGTGCCATTCGGGGAATTTAAGTATGCAAGTATATGAAATAAAGTCGCTTAGGCAACGCCCATTCCGAAGCTCCGCCCATTGCAGATCTCTGAATTTACCGACACTTAAACAAAGTGGGATAAATTCTTTGGGAAGTTGTAACATAAGAAGCAATTATAAGCTATCAAATTGCATTTTTGTACAAAAAGTTCATTGACTATTTTCGGCGCAGTTTTTAATGTGGAAACTCATCGAACAATTTCCAAATTGCATCAAACTAAATTCGTTATGAGCCACTCCCATTTTTGACTGATAAGCGGTTAAAATTATGTAATTAAAAATAAATCGAATTTTAATTCATTTTAAAATAATATATGGGCTATTTGCGTCACTTTCAGATCACTTCAATGTAATATTAATTCAATTTTACTCGCAATATCAAAAGCTGATTCATGTAATTATACTCTTTAATTTTGCATATGTCGACATTAAAATCCAATTAGTTATTTATCCATGACTCGAAAAATGCATCAAATTACCTGAAATCGCATAGCTTTAAGCGCGAGCTTCCTGAATGGCAAATGAGGTGGGAAATTTTGAGGAAACTGTGCCATAAACAGTACAATTATGGCACTGCGCACCTCTTAAGTGAGTGGCTGTTCTGTAAAAACCCTGCAATTTACAGCAATTTCCGCGTCTTTCTCCCGGGTGATTAATTGAAATGACGCGCGAGGGCGGATGCGAATTGGCGGAGGTGATAATTGCCGGAGGTGACGTCACTTGAGCGGGTTTTTTGCGCGCCCCCACACCCCGCGAAGGCGCCCGGGTGGTTGCACATATTTTATGATAATTGAGTTTCTTCGCTTCGATTTGCCATTAATGGGCAAGACGACCATTTTGCGGAGTTGGGGTGGGAAGTTGCGGGGTGGGAACATCAATAAATTTCATTCAAGACATTTTATTGCTCTGCGTCTTCAGCCCTTTCGCATGAGGAGTGCCGATGCCGTTCGCCTTTTTTTAATCACACAAACTAGACACATAAAGTTTGCCGCTTCACCCAAACCCGTATCTAAATTTGTCCCCATATCAATAATAATAAATGGGGCAGCCGCTGGCTGCTGCAGACTCCGTGGAAGTGTGCCCCATGCTCCCCAAGGGGGCGGTGGGAGACGACACGAGTCTGTGGGCCATTACGAGACACAAGTTCACATGGCTTTTTCTGCAGAGGGAGAATCACCATGATTTAATTTATTATTGCCACATTATGTCGGGAAGATCAAACGAGTGATTTTTCACCCTCGACCTCTTGGCCCGAGGACGTGGGGCAGATTGATGGGATAGTTGGTGACTTGATGGATCCCTCTCAAAGTCAATCAATCACAAATCAACTTCCCAAAGTCACTTCTTTTCCTCTCTCTCTAGACATTTTTTTTTGCCGCAGCTCCCCAAAGAGCTCCCCCTTTTTTCACCGGGGATGGAAGGTAAATTGAGTTGCTCCTCAGGTGAATTGGGAACAAGAGATATATGTAAAGTGATGTTTCCCACCCTCCTAAATTTGAGGGAAATCTGATTTTCTCAATTTCCGCTCAGAATCTTTCGCTGATTCTTTTGACTGGTGAAATTCGATTGCAGCCGCCGCATTCGGCCGTACAGGAGCGTCACGTGAGCGGCTCAACGTCACGCACGATGGCCGCCATGTCGCTGGGCTTCATCGTGATGGTGACTCCATGGACAATACAGGAAATCGTGGCAGCGTGCACGGGATCAAAGGCAAGTTCCATAATGTAGTCAAATTCAATTTGCATACACAAAGAACGCTTTGTGCTAAATCTCCAAGCTTCCATTTGATTCTATAGGAGTTTTTTTTCGTCGAAAAATACTCTATTCAACCTCACATGTCGTATGTATGCATACATTTGCCGTGACTATAGAGACATTCGCTTCCCTCTCATTTTTTTGCCCCGCCCACTCGAATGCTCCGCCTCTTTGAACATCTTTTGAGCTAATTTGCACCAATTCAACTATGTTTCCAGGTCCCACCATTTCTGGACTTCTTCGTCACGTGGACCGCCATTAGCAACAGCTTCTGGAATCCCTTTCTCTACTGGCTCCTGAACGCGCACTTTCGTCGGATCGGTCGCGAGTTCTTCACATCATGGGTGAGTCTCCTTTCCAGTGCCCAAATTCTCGCTCACCCAGCAAATTCTCCGTTTAGTGGTGCACCAGTGACGATCCGATGGCGCGCAAGTCGCGCTGCTGCAGCGTCAGCTCAGAGTGCGATCCCATCTCGCTTCCGGTGCCGCCGGCGCCGCCCAAATCGCAGCCGCCGCGACCCGACATCGAGGGCATGTCGGAGAAGTACTGGGGCGAGATTCTGGAGCGCACCGTCAGCTCCACGTCCCTGCACGCCCTGCAGCGCGCCTACGCGGGCCGCAAGAGCACCAGCTTCGGCAGCCTGAATCTCACTGACCTGGAAGTGGGCGAACACACGTTCCACGCCGCCTCGTGCGCCAGGAACAAGATCCTGCTGGAGGATCCGGGACCCAGACACACCATCAAGGGTCTGCCGGACATTTAGTTATAAGTCGCTGTCGAAAATGTGTTGATGGAATGTGTATGTGGAAAACTTCCCCTGACTCTTTTCTCCATTCAATTTTCCCTCTGTGGGTGTTTTTTTCCACACGCGATTTAGACGTAATTTGAGGTGAATTCGCTGTAAATCCGCGAATAATTGGCTGCATGAGGAAACTTTTCCTCTCAAAGAACATGTCAAACATCATTTGGATTATCCCGGATCGCGTGGAGGAAGCTAACAAGACATTGTCAGCACATATTTTCGCCGCATGTATCAGAATTCTCCCCCGAACTCCCTAAACAATGCAAATCTACATGAGGTTTTCCGTGTTTGTGTGCGCAAAGCAGGAGCAAGTCTCTTTATTAACCTTAACACACCCAATTCAATAGTTTAACGGACATCGTGAGATGTTGTGTTCTTCACGTCTTTTCTGTGATTGAAATGCTCGTCAGAAAAGTGCGGATAAATTTGTAGTGTTTTATTATAGATAGAAATGTGTCAAGGCGGGAAGACTTTTTCTATAGTTGATTTTCTAGTAAACATGAATTTAGAGAGAAGAAAAGAATTGTAGGGAAGAATTAAATTTAAAAAAAAAATCATTTTTTAAAACGATTGTCGATCATTTAGTGAAAGTATAGCATATTATACAATATATCTATGACTTTTTGTATTAAAGCGCACGATTTTCTTCACATAAAAACCACTTTTTCTCTCCATCCTCAACCCTCAATTTTCACCCTCAATTCATCATCCGGCGTCGGCGAAATTCAATGAAGGCATCATCAATGGGACACTTTGGCCATGTAATGCAATAAATTGAGAATCTTAATGAAGAATGACACTGGATAATTGATAAAAAGCGACTCTTCCTGGCCTGTGACGCACTCTAATGGCTTTCTGGGCAATGTGAACGGAGAGTGATCGTGAAAAAGGGTGGACAGAGCGGGTAAATATTGCCTCCCACATCAAAGGGTTTATAGTTCATTCTCACCCGCTTATCTTGACTCTTTTTCACTCTGGCTAAAAGCTAAAAGCTCCATCGCGGAACTGCTCGAAAGGACTTTTTGCCCGGCGGCGCTTAAAAGCAATCTTCAAGGGGTGCTTTTTCCTCTTTTTTTATTTTTAGATTGTGTGTGAAATGTCCGTGAAAGCATCATTCGATAGGATGCGCCAGAAAAAGTGTGATTTTAATTTTCTAGCTGCAAAATCTTTTTCCACGGCTTTGAGAGTGTTTATTCAGCCGGAATGAAAGCAAATGTTTTAGCGATAGATTGAATTGGAAAATAGAAAGAAAAATTAAGTTGATTTTCATCTTTATCGCCAGCAAGTGCAACGTTTTGCTAAACTTTTCACCTCACTTTGTCATCCAGAGCAGAAAGAATATCAATTTCCTGCCCGGTGGATTTTCTTCAAAGTTCTCTTATCCTGTTGTAAATTTGTCAAGTGTTTGTGTGAAAGTCCTGGAAATCTTTGGCACTTGTCATACGATGTCAAGCTGAAGCACACGTGCAACATTTTCCTCAAAGTCACCAAGAATTGCTGAACACTCACGATTGAGAGATTATAAAGTGAATGAAGGCAAAGGAGTCAATTTCCGTTCTGGTAATTCATTTTCACCGGTGTCTGAGCGAGAAATCGTAAAGAAAGTCAGAGTGTTGAAAAGACTGCAATTGACACAAATTTTCTGTCGTTTTCAAATTGAATTCGCGATGTGCGAATTGCAAGTCACCAACGAGAAAGGACTTCCTGTGCTTCAGGTGGCGACAAATCGATAAATTGTATTAATTTTCGCACAGCGAGACAAGTTGCGGAAGCCGCGGGAAAAGATGAAATTGAATTTTCTGCAAAAATTCCCGCGCTCTTTTCGTGGTGGCAAAACGCGATTAGCGCAAGGAGATTAATGGGGAAAGTGCGGCAAAAGGGGTTTAACGGGAAAGAAGTGGAGAATTGGAGGGGTGAAAATGTGACCAAAAGCCACTGAAACCGCGCCTTTCGTCGGGATTTATCGCATTTTGATTAATTATCGAATGTGATCCAACAATTCAATTAGTGCCGCAGCCAAAAGAAAATATGCTTCCGGTGGAAGGAAAACGCCTCGCGCCACCGCACGGCGGTTAATTGTAATTTACATAATTGTCCTCATTTGCCTCCTTTGAAGGACTGCAGGAAATTTTACACCTTTACCGGTGTAAAATTGGAAGAATTTCCAATAAATTGGAATGTAGGATTTTCCCGGAAGGCCGTTTTGCTGATTTTTTCCCTCTGTTTTTTCTCCTCTCATTTTTTTCGCAATGTGAGAAGTCAAAGTTATGCTGACCCATCATTCCACACAATGAACAATTCCTTCGCCCACCAAGAATTTTTCTCTCCTATTTAAATTCACACGCAAAATTTTGGTCAAGAACAGAGATGCAAAAGCTAAGATAAAGACAAACTTAAGGAAGTAAGCCTAAAAAATCGTCAAGAAGTGACGTAAATAGAAATTTTTCTTTTTTCTCAAACATCCTTCATCTCAGATCTACAGTAGCGAAAATTACGTTAGGACACCTATGAAATCTTGACCTTTTTCCCTTTTGCTGCTAAAAATTCGATATTTCTTTCAGTTTTCGAAACTACGATCTTAAGACGAAAAATAATGAGAATTTAATGATCTTTCAAATGGCGTTGAGATTGTATTGGCGTTGAAAATTGTATTTGTCGAAAAGAGCAAAGAAGAGTATCTCTTAACATAAGAGATACATATATTTGAGATTATAAATATTTGCAATAACCTAAACGTCATAACAAGCAACATCTATCGCGCATTGCATGCAAAATCACCGTGAGATATTCAAAAATATTTGTAAACGACAAATTTGCGCTTGGTGCGCTTGCTCAAGTGTCCTCACTTGTACTTTCATCGCAAATCATCGCTTTTAATCCTGCTGTTTGCCATCATCAGCCACGGCCGAGGGGCCACTGACTGTCTCCCAAAATTTCTAGCAACATCATCCAGTAGATCCAGTATCAATATCCAAATATCTCCTATGCGCAGCGTCACAGTGGCCCTCAATGTTGTTATCAACGCACAAATGAGACCCGAAATAAAGGGTTGAAGTACTCTTAAGTGACCTGAAATGCCAGACATTTTACGCGGGAGTGTCATGAGATTAAGTTGCGCGAGAGAATCATGTGAATTGTGGTGATGATAAGAGAATGGTGAATGCAACAAAATATGATACTCACATGCTTCAAGTATATTGTTTCGTGGGAACTATTTGTCAACCCCAAAATAACCCCAAGTTGACGAATATTTGTGGCAAAATGTCTGATTTCTTAATAAATCACTTAAGATTTCACACTCACGGGCTGTTCAGTGAGAAATTAAAGTACGAGTGCGGGAAAAAGTTGAGAAATTCACGTGGAAAATCAAGTATTGTTATTTCCAAGGGGAAGATAATATGGTTCGAAGTGGTGTACAACTCAGGGGAAGTTATTAGAAAGTGGAAGTGTTGTAATTTATGCAATATTTGATTCACAGCTTTGATTTTTTTTAATACAACTTGTGGAAGTGACATAAAAGTGGTGTACAAATTTTAGTCATATTATCTTCCCCTTGGATTATTTCTGACAATGATTCAGATAAATTCACACAAAGCAGAGAATAATTACCGCAGATACACCAGTGGATGATGAAGCTGACGATCTGTCCAGAGCGCACAGAGATGTGCACTTCTGCCACTGATGAATCACCCCTTGCGATTGGGGCCTTCCGTGTCCACGTTGTTTTCTCCTCATGGGCCCAACAATCACATTTTGGCAAATATACGACCCTCCTCACTCACTTCCTCTCCAAAGCAGAGCTGTTGACTTGCTGTGCTCGCTGTATGGAAAAACATGGAGAAATCCTTCAAGATTATCTCTGAGTGAGCGAGAGAGAGATGGCTCATGTATAAATTGGGATTAATGCGAAGAATGCAACGTTTTGACTCATTCGTGGTGAATCCTCCCCATAGTCCAGGCAATGTGCCACCAGTGAGCGTGTGCGGAAGATGGTGACGCTGCAGGTGCCGGAGTTGGACAGGAAGAAGTCCCTGTCCATGTCCCACCTGCCTGCCCAGGACACCAACTTCCTCTGCGTGCCCGGCGCCAAGAGTCTGCTGGAGCTGCAGGAGATCACGACGCTGTCCATGAAGTCGCACGAGTCGCTGCGTCGCATTGAATCCAACACGGCAATTGTGGTTCCGGAGAACTTCAGCTTCTCCTCACTGGCCATCCAAGTGTACAAGATGCGCTGGGCAATGCTACTGCTCTGTCTCGCCTCCGTGACACTCACGTACATGCAGTGGATTCAGTACAGCATCGTGGCCAACATCATTATGCGCTACTATCGCGTCTCGTCGCTGCTCGTGGACTGGACTTCCATGGTCTTCATGATCACCTACAGTCTCCTCGTCTTTCCCGTGTCCTTCTTCATGGACATCAAGAGACCTCGCCAGGCCGCCGTGATGGGATCTGTGCTCCTGGCTCTGGGATCGTGGATTAAGGTGGGCAATATATTGCGTTGAAGTGTAATTAAGAGTGGCAGTTGAGCAGTGAAAATGTTGAATTTGAAAGTCACTTATTAACCCATCAAGTGAGATAATTTTATCCTCTTTTTTCCCCTCTGTGCACGCCAAAGTTCATTGAAATGCCCAAAATGTGTGCTTCTGCTCAATATCTCCCCTTTGTCTGGGCCCAAAATCAAACAATTCCAAAGTCAGTTAATACGACGAATCACTCAATTGCGCCCCCAAAAACCCAAAGAAAGCCTTCGAACCTCGATTCTGCCTCTTGTCCAGGGGGGAAATATTGTGTGTTCAGAAGTGATGTACAGTCTGTACAGCTCTTAAGGGAAATCTCAGGAGTGTTTGCAACTTCTTTTCCATAAACCAATTCACGCACTTCTTACTCAATTTGTGCAAGTGTAAGATGATGTACAGATTTAAGACACACTATCTCCCCCCTCGGTGTCTTGCATGAGTCAAAGAGATATTCAAGTGACTCACATTGAGCGCATTGTCTCGATGGTTTGCGACAAATGTTTGTCCAAGATCCGGTAAAACTGGAAACAATCGGACGATGGGCGCGATCTTGACCCTCGATTTTTCCCTAATATTGTAGGTCTTCTCACTTGGTCGAGATCTCTTCCTTGTGACTTTCGTGGGACAGACAATTGTGGCCATTGCGCAGGTCTTTGTCGTGAGTCTGCCATCAAGATTGGCCTCCACGTGGTTTGCACCCGAAGAGGCGTCCAAAGTCTGTGGCCTGGGCGTTTTTGGGGCACAACTCGGCACATCACTGGGCTTCTTCCTCACACCGTGGCTCGTGCAGAATGACGAGATGATCGAGAACATCCACCAGGATCTGGAGATCATGTTCATCGGTGATGCAGGAATCTCAACTGCGATCTCTGTGTTCACTGTGGCAGGTGAGAGACGCCGCCGGGCGTGTCGGTTCTCTTTGACTCTCTAACGAACTTCTGTGTCAAACAGTGTTCCAGTCGCAGCCAGAGAAGCCACCCAGTCACATCCAGGCCATCCAGCGGAGTGTGCGCGCCACAAACAAGGGCTACTGGAAGTCCATGTGGGGTCTGCTCAGGCAGCGTGACTACATCATCCTCGTGGTGGCGTACGGAATGAATGTCGGCGTTTTCAACTCAATGCTCACGCTCCTCAACCAGATCATCCTCAACTACTTTCCCGTGAGTTCACAAAGTCACAGAAGCTCTGTTTGAGACTGCAAAAACTCAAGGTTTTCTCCCTTGTAGGACAGCGAAAAAGACGCTGGATACATTGGGGCGGCAATCATTGGGACCAGCTTAGTGGGATCCGTGGTGTTTGGCTTCATCATGGACACTTGGCATGAGTACAGAAAGACTGCTGTCTGGGTTTATGGCATTTCCGCTCTCACCGTTCTCGTGTTCTCTCTGTCGCTGGAAAGCAGAGACAAGAAGCTTCTCTACGTCGCATCGATTCTCATGGGGTAAGCATTATATACATTGATTATGATTATGATTGATTAAAAACTCTACATGTTGATTAACAGAAATAAGCATGCGGTTAATTTTCTTATCAATCTCATAGATTTCATATATTTTAATTGTAACAGAATTCCTTCTCGCCTCGCAGATTCTTCATGAGCGGCCTGCAGACCATCGGTTATGAGCTGGCTGCTGAACTGACCTATCCCGAGCCCGAGGGTCCAGTGGCGGGCATCATGAACATCTCCACGCACATCTTTGGCGTTCTCTTCACCATCATCATCTCGCGCATTCACGACACACTCGGCGATTTGGCCGGCAATCTGGCCTTCACGGTGCTTCTAGTCATCGGTGCCTCCATCACGGCCATGATCAAGGCCGAGCTGAAGAGGCACTCGGCATACAAAGAGGTTGCATCGGCGGCCGAAGAGCTGGCGCAGCTCGAGAAGCAGATCGTCTTCAAGACCGATGACTTCTAGGCTTTTCCCCTCTTTGTACAGAAAACCAAAAAAAAAGGTAACTTAACGAGCGTTTGACGTTTAAATACCCGCGCCCAACAATTCTGTCTACTTCGGGGCGATTGCGCGCGATGGCCAAAAAGACAGGGGGCTTATCAGTACAAATGTGGAGAGTGATGGAAATGGTGCATACGCCGACGATTGCCGTACTCGTGTGCATAAGGAGAATGGGAATCTTCTTGATATCTCGGCGGCCTGAAGCCAATTGTTGTTGTTGTCGCTGGAGAAGAAGTAATTGTTGTACTTGAAGTCTTTGGGGTACTTGTGCTCGTTGCTGTGGAAGTTGTTGTCGATGGAGACACTGAAGAAGTGATTGTCGAAGACTCAATTGCACTCAATGTTGTTGAGGACATCATTGAACTGCTGGTAGTGGATTTTGATGATTCTGCATCAACTGTTGATTTAGTAGATGCAGAAGTTGTTGGTACATCTGGGATGATTATTCTATAACCAGAAGACTTATCTTCAGTCTCAGATGACTTCTCCAAGTCTTTGATTGTTTTCCTGTCGTCGGGAAAGCGCCATCCTTGACCGCATTTGACTCCCAAGAAGCAAAACAACAACTCAATAGCAATTAACATGAGCACAGCGTCTCTCATGATGCTCTGCGCGCGATCTTGAACTGCGGCTTTCTACTCTATCATGCACCTTTATATCTATAGAAAGACTGATTAAATGTGACCGTCATGGAACTTTATTGACTGTTTTGGGACGTCCGTGAGAAATCTAGACTTCTCCTGCGATGAAAAATACAAACACGCCATGGATCATGAGAATAAATAAATCAGAAGACTTTCTACACAATGTTTAACCCACCTCAAGTTCCACAATTCACCCAAAGTGATTCTCCCGACAATCCTCAATCTTTATTGAACCGTGACTTTCTGATTACGGGTAGAAAGTGTATTTTTGAGAAGATTGAATTAATTAACACTCACGTCACATTGTCTCATTTTTTCTGATTGAATATTAATTGCCTGAAGGGACCGAGAATTGTTAATCAATGACATTCTTTGTTTATGAAAAAGTGTTTCTATACTGCAAGATTTTACAATTCAAGCAATAAAAAAACAGTGTTTACAGCGAGACAATTTTATTTAGTACTAAATAAAAGGCATATTTTATTAAACCTATCTAAAGACAGCAGATGATCATCAATAATCCTTGGATTTCTAAACTATTCTAGTCAAAGGTTCTACTTTGAAAAGAATGTATAGATGAAAGCGCAGTAGGAAAATGTTGCTTTCAATAGCTGAAAAGAATTATTATGGAGATAACATATTATATTTACAATTTATTCCTCTTTCTTACTTGAAGAAATGTACTGACGGAAACTTCGTTGAACCCAAATGTTCTAATTGGTGTTGTTTTTTGTGCAAAATGCAACAAAATTAGAAAAATTTTCTGATTCTTCAGATCCATTTGATACCATTTAGTCAGAATCATCACCTGAGAAACCCTCTCGTCGCCATTCTTGATCATTTGTCCGATAAAGCAAACCAGGAACATTTGTCCAATCATTGCCGGCGAAATAAAGTAAAAAGTGACGGACGAAGCTGATGAGAATATCATGATATACAGAATCATGCAGATATAAACTAAGTTTACGAAGAAGTGAACCAGATAGAAATACCACGAAATCCTCTGCAAAATCTTCATCATTTCTTTGGCTCGCAAATGACTTTTGTATGCCGTAAAAATTATTCTTTTCGATTGTTCAGCAAACAGATTTTCCTCATTTTCAAGACTCAACAGTAGTTCTGAGATAGAGTCAAATTCTCCTTTGAAGTACAGAAACATGAACACTAGCAAAATGTCAATTGTTATCATATATCCGACAGTGTAAGTGACAATCACACTTTGACACACTAAATTAATTGGAATGTGAAGAATTGAATCCTTCATAATGGAGGGAAAAGTAAAGAATAGAATGGATGTAAATTTGGTGCGATCCAGTGTAAATATTTGATATGTTATCAGTGCTATGGAAGTTGCAAAAGCGAATAATCTGTAAAGAAAATGAATAATACCGTTTTAGAAGAGTCCGATTACTAATTATCTATAGTATACCTTGAAATGTTATAGGATAGCCATATATGATCTGTAAGAACCTTTTGCCGACACTTCATGATCATACTTTCATCATCAAACACGAGTTCTTCGAAGTATTGGATGAGCGATGAAATATCTTTCTTGAAAAATATCGCACTGATGAAAAATTTGCAGGAATCCTGATAATAGCAGCAAGATAAGATGATCAAAAACAGAAGTTCTGTAACATCGATAGGTTTTCCAATCAAGTAAATTATTTGATCAACTGAGATTAGAAAACACAAAACTTGGATAGTCAGGAAAAGTAAGATCTTCAGGTTATTAAGGAATTTCCACCTGAACTCAGGAATGAAAGTGAGGAAGCAAATCACTGAGTATATTTTCAAATGCATCTTGAATCTTTTGTGCGCCTCATTCAAGTCTGACTGAGACATATTGATTATTATTTATTCCACGAAAATAATTCTCCCTTCTGACTACCTTAAAACGTTTGCTCACTCATTTATATACGGTCAGAAAAAATTCTGTCTGGCAATAAACAATTAAGACATGTGAAATATTTTAATAGTGCTTCAGTAGGAGTCATCAAATGGGCGGAATGAATTTAACAGTCTCATTCTGTTGCGAGGAATACAATGAAGTGAACTCTGACAAAAGCGGTCAAATAGTTACCATCCCCTTTCCATATCGGTGCAGTGTAATGGCTTTTCGGGGTGAAGATTTCCACCGCCGGGAATTCCTCAAGAAACTTTAATACAACAGACGGTAAACATTGAAGAATTTAGCATAATTATATCTAAAGTTCAATCGGGAAAATCACCCCAACTCTGGGTCAATTCGGCAGACCGCCTACTTGAAATTCCTGCTCTCGCAACTCGTGAAACCTTTTTTTGCCACCCTAACCATCAGTTCACTTTTGCCAAATTTGAATCGTGTTACATTTTCATTTTGCACACACAAATCTTTCGTGACAGGTTTTTCAGCGCTTGTTTGAATGTGATCAAGTGGAAATGCCTCAATTTGCAGCAGACTTTTCGCTCTCATTTCGTATCGTCTCTGGCAAAGCTGTATTTAATTAATTTACACAGACTCCCAATCATCAGAGAAAAATGTGAGCTTTTCCTATTTTGAAGCTCTTTGAACTATTTGTGCAAGCAGGTGAAGTTGCAAAATCAAAAGGGAATATTTAATTAGGAGTTCATTAAAATTGTCCAGAATGCAGTGGGAAAGTTTGTTAGCTTGAACACCAATCAATATTGATGTGAGGAGAGGAGAAAATCAAAAGATTTCCATTCTCTTTGCACTCTTTTGTGCGAGAGAAATGATCATTTATCGTGTTTTGTCCATCAAAAAGTCACTTGACTTTATTGAGTTTGTTCTTCTCGGCAATTTTCTCATGTTTTTTTTCTCTTCAGCCTCGCAAACCAATTCTCGTCCATAAATCACATCTTAAGGGTTCTCTTTTTGTCCACACTTTGACTCTCTTTGGTGGGAGTGGGAAAAAAGGTGTGTCGCAACCCAAAAAAAAGAGAAGAATGCGAGCAAAGTTTAAGTGACTCAACGAGATAAACCAATAAAAAAAAGAGGTGGTTTAAAATGAGAAAAAAAAACTCTCCTTTTCCCACAAATCCTTGCAGAAAAATCCAATTTTCATGCCACCACTCTCACCAATTATAAAATTGTATATGGGATAAATTGCAAATCTCTCGGTATTTGTTGAACTTTGCTTTTCACCGGCGCACACAAAAAAAATCCTCTAGCAGAAAAGATAAAAACCATGTGAGTTTTATTACAAAATTCCTCTGTTTTTCATGCCACGTTTGCTGTTCAAAATTATCAAATTGCACATTGTTCATGCGAGTATTCTGAAACGCACTGTAGCGTTAAGTCCTCGCTTGTCCTCTGGATTTTACCCATTTTAACTGGATAATCCTTCGGTGGAAAAGTCCGCAATATTGAGAATTTTCATCATTCATATTACACATCTCTCTGGGATTCACGAGTGTGCTTAAAGCTCCTTCAAACGAAATCCTTTGCTAACCACAAAGTCACTCTCTAGAAGCCACAAGAACCACGATTCAATCTGCAAATTAGTCAATTATATGCATCGTAAGAGCGTAATTAGTGAAATTCATGTATAGTGAATCTTCATTTGAGTGAATTTGAGTGGCTTTCAATCTGGTTTTCCACGCCAAAATGCCAAAACCCAAGTTTACACACGACTTTCGTGGTGAGACGTAAAAAATGTGGATTTATTTCAGATATGAACCAAGCAAAACTTCCAGCCATTAATTTCATCCCAGCCTTTTCGGCAACTTTTCGACTCTAATCCAGAAGGATAAGGGAATGATTTATCCCACTTTCCACACGCTGTAGTCCTCAAAATGCGCCCAACAAGTTGCAAAACTATTATTAAATTTTACCAGAACTGCACTGCGTCCAATTATAATTCGTTTTAGTGTGTAATTTACACGCAACTATGCTCAAATCCACTTTGTTTGCACGCACGGAATTTCCACTCAATGCAATTTAACTCGCCTGCAGCGCACGGAAAATTGAGGAAATTCAGATATGACGAGCAAAAGATGCTCAACAGTGTTATTAGTTTCAATTGAAGCGTGCAGTAATGCTTAATAACGAACTTTATTAGTTATTCCGCCACAGTTTAGTTTGGGGCACTTTACAGAGAGCTTTGCGACCGAAGCGTCTGTGCTGATGGGAAAATAGTGAAATTGAGAATGAATTGCGCAAGAAAATTTAATTTCAACAGTTCTCAGTGGAAAAACTCTTCGACTGATTTATTCTTTCATTGAATTAAGAGAGATTACGCAAACATCTAACCAAATATAAGAATGTGAATGAGAAAGAAGACTGTGAAAACGTAATTTTCGTTATTTCCAAGGTTATTACAAATTATAAATAGGGATTTTTGCCACCAAATGAAAAAAACTGCAAACTTAAATCTCGCAATGCGAAAGCTTTGCGCGCTAAAGTGACTTTAAAGTTCAACAGCTACACTTTATCTTAGAGCTATTCAAATCCCTTTTTTGAATTCAGCACCAGAATAATTTCATGTGAAAACAAACCATCGGCATTATCAATTCCACTTTACGACGCGTGATAGTCATAAAGTTGGATTTTGTGAATTGAAATGCACAGTGAATAATCTCTCTTGTAATTCCCGCACGGACAATCTTGAGCGTCAGCGAAGAATCGCCGCCTTTTGTCCATGACTTATCGGTTCTTCACGAGTGTCGAAATTTATGGGAATCATTTTCCACAGATCACAAGTGACTCTCACCAGTCGCAACACATCCATCGCCTCAGATGGTTTACGAGGTCGGATTGGCTGCTGGGTGTGCAGCATCAACAAGTTCTGTCGCCCGCCCAAATATCTAATGGGGTGGAAGTGTAAAATCAAATAGAACATGCGAGGAAATTGGCAGATAAAGAGGACAAGAACGAGATTCAACCCCTTTTTTCCCAATTGCAGCGCTCATACATAAAAGTTCTGCGTGCGAAATTTATGCTCAACAGCGAGAGTGCCAAAAGGAAAACAAGCGCGCTTGTGATGTTGGCTTTGAGGGATGGAAATTGAAAAATTTTACATTCACCCCGAGAAATGAAGTGTTTGGGCTTCATAAAAATCCTTATCCGCAGAATGTCTCATTGTTTACGTTTCCGGCTCACATCATCCACTTTGAGGGTTATTTCGCCATTCGCCCAACGACGTCGTATCATTTTTAATACTCTTGAGCGTTTCTTGTGCAAGAAAAGCGCCCCGAAGAGACAGTGTCTCTTAAGCTTTGTCTCTAAATGTTGAGACATGTTTAAGGAATTGGTGAACTTTTCTATATTACTTCCAGTGATTGCGATTTCCCGTCATCTTTGGTCTCAAAATCAATTTCCTCCGTGTCACAGTGGAAATGTGGAAAACAAGGTGGAGATATTCAGCATTAGTTTATTTTTCTTTCAATTCCTAAATCACTTTTTATCAATTTTTGGCTAACGTATTTTAATTAATTAATTAATTCTCTACATGTTTAAAATTTAACATTTCTCCGTTTTAGCGGGAATCGCTCCAAATATTTCGCAAGATATCACTATTATTGCTATTTTTAGATATTTCTCAGCTCAAGTGCTAAGAGTGGTGTACAGTTTGCAATCAGATTGTCTGCGTCTTGGTGGGAAAATTGAGTGCGGTTTGGGTTGAAAGTCGCACAGAAAGAGTGGAATTTTGATGTGTCTTCTGAGGATTTATCCGAGCTGAATTGATATTGACATGTCTGGTGAGACATTCTGCTTTCCACTTTAACGATTTCTTTTGTCCATCACGCCACGGTCATCATCAATCATGTTCAGCGCCTTGTCTTTAGTGGATCATAAGAGCGCCGATGACATAAAATGCGGATGAGATGATGAAAATGATTCCTCACATATTTTCCTGTGCGGCAAAGAAAACACCGCCGCCGCCCATAAAGATACTTTCTGTGCTTCTCTGTGCGCCCAACAAAGCCCATTATGGAGCTTTATTTACTCGCTGAGCTTTATTGCTCTCGCCACAGAATCACTTGTGGTACAAAATGCGAAATATTTCGATTGACATTTCACATGAGTTTTTTTTTCTTTCTTGCTGTGAAAAATGCACATTTTGACGGCGCATTTTTATTCGGAAAATCATCGAAATAGTATTTGATGTGTGTGTGATGTTTTCAGCTGTTGCCATTGGAAATGGATATTTTGGGGTGAATCGCTCCGTGGAATCACTGAGAAATTTATTACATCACTGCTTTTCTCTCATTGGCGAGAACTTTGATGCCATAATCTAATAAAATTTATATGGCAACATTGCGTTCTGCGCTCTCACGTGAACTATTTTTATGTGCACAGCAGTAAAAGGCTACACAGAAGCTCCACATTTTTTGTCGTCAATTGAACTTTCACGCTATCAGTGTGAAGAAACAAACTTTTAGCAAAGATTTCCGGTAAAAATTTCAACTTTCTCTCTCTGCAGCACGATTAAATTCAATTGAGAGCAAACCATTCGGAAAAATCAATGAAGATCTCACGGTGACGACAAATGTTTCTACACAGGATCGAAAGACACTCTTAAGCGACATTTAAACTCTTTGTGTGAAACTTTTTCTACCGCCAGAAAATCACGGCATCAAATGTGATTATGGTTTTCACACCTCAGCATTGCTGACAAAGTGCTGATGGCCAAATTCAATTTCTACATCTGCCATTGTGTGAATGGCGAGAAGATAATTCATCCGACAAATGGCAGAACTTCTTCGCGGCGATGCGAAGAAAACGCCTTAATTGCCTCCAAAAATGTAAAATGCAGAGACTTTTGGCCTTCAAATGGAGGGTGGAAAATTGGCCTAATTGGAATTAATGATAACGCAAATCATGATTTGACAAATCTTTTGTACTTTGCCAGGCACTTTTTTTTCTGCCCACACCTCATCAATCTCGCGCGCGCAATTGGCGCGTGAAAGCTCCAAAGGCGATCGCTTTTTCTGCCAAATGGAAATATATATATATACACACAAATCGACAAATTCAATCTATTGAATCTCATCTGCAATTTCAGTGTCTGTTTAATTGATATATTTGCTTAGAGCTCTCACTTGTGGGGAAGCGTCAAAGTTTGTAGAACATCTTCTTCAGTGGAATGCTTAAGAGCGAGCATATCTTCACGTGTCTCAAGGGAATTTATCGACCATTGCGCGAGGTGGAAATGCTGCAAAGGTGATTGTGTAGAATTACAAGTGCAAATTGTAAATAAATCATGAGTCTGTTTATCAGATTTTTGCATCTTTGGAGAGTTACTTTCACTTAGAACACAAGAAATGTTTGAAGCACTTTAAAGAATGCATTGAAAAGCTATTTTAACTTGATTATTAGCTTTGTCATTGCCTGTACAGAAGGATTTACAACAACATGAATTGTGTACAAGAAAAGATGCTTCTTAAGTTACTGATGCGAATCTCGATGAGTAAAACAATTGATTTCACGACCTAAAATGCAGATAAAACACCTCAGATTCTTCCTATGACTGGAAAACGTACTTAAAACAGCATTTTGTCCATCTTCTTCGTTTATTCATCACCTCTTTTTTTCTCATTACACCTCTTGTGTCGCATTAAGTAGTAAAATAAATTTCACTTGTGGAATTTACACTGGCGACTCCTCAAATCCATATATCGAAAGTCGCACTAATCTGAGAGCCGCGCGGGATTAAATATATTAAAATATTACATCGCCTTTATGTACACCAGGGCAGAACGGGGGCCAAGGGAAGGGAGTCGCAGTTGGAACTGGAGGTAAAATCACTGAAAGTCTTTGCACTATAGTGTCAGCCAGATCACTCCTCGGACTCACGCCGAGGTCACAACGTCTTGCTGTTCTTCTGCTCCTTGGGCGTCGCCGTGGGCAGCGGCGGAATCGGCGGGATGCCGTTGCTGGGCAGCATCTTCTCCTTCTGTCGCTCCACAGCCTCCGTCACGGTGTCCGGATCCACCATTAGCTTCTGACCGCCCTTCTCGGCCGGCGACGGCGGCGGCAGCGACGCGGACGCCTCCTCCTTGGCGGCCGCCAGCTGTCTGTTCATCTCCTTCTCAATCTTCACCTCATTGTCCAGAATCTCCTCCTTGGCCACCAACTCGATCAGCTCATCGAACTGCTTCTCGCTCAATTTCACATTGTCCTTCGCAATCATCTCAATCACCTGCCGAGCGACAGAAAGGGAGACAAATTGGAGCAATTAATTCAAATTAATTCATTCAATTTGACTGGAGAACGTGCGCAGGAGGGGAAAGAGAACTCGTACGCGAAGATTTACGGCCGAGTCTGTCAGTTCAGCAGGTCACTTGGAATTCATGACCATTCTGGACGAGAGAGATTCTCATATTAAAACTGGGAATTGAATCTTATACAGGCAGAATTCACAAAGGGTTTATCAAATTGGATTAATTTGCACCACAATCACACTAAACAGAAACCTCAATTTCTCTTATTGAATTGACTTTAAAGCCTTTCTCAGTAATAAAGACCATAATTTAAATAGAAAATATGATGGAAATGGAGCTAAAATATTCATAATTCTCATCTTTATCTATTTTTATGCCCACAAAGACTTCAAAAAATGCTAGAAATATAGTGTTGACTCAAGAAAATGTCAAAAGACTGTTGAAAAACTGATTAATATCGGCAAAGAAGCAAATTTCCGTCTTCTTACCTTGAGTACATCATCGACTTTGAGTCTTCCGTCGCGATCGTCATCCAATTTGCCAAGAATGCCGTAGATTTGGTGCAACTTCGCGTCGTCGTCCACCTTCTGCAGCTTCTTGATGGCCACCATCAGCTCGTCTACGTACACGAGCTGCTCCTTCTTCTCCTTCTCCTGCTGCACGCCCTCCTCGGCGCTCGCCTCGATCGTCTCGATGTCCGACTTGAGCTTCTGCTCCTTCGCCTCCAGATCCAGCAGCACCTTGTCCAGCTTCCCGATCATCTTATCCACTCGCCTGTGCAGCATCTTCGCCGCCGTGGACTCGTGTATCTTGTCCGTGGGCTTCACCACGGCGTTCAGCTCCTTCACGTCCTCCGCATAGTCGGCAATCTCCTCCTTCAGGTCCTTGATCTGCTCCTTCTCCACCATCAGCACCTTCTTGTCCTTGGAGATCTCGCCCAGCGCGTCCGTCAGCACCTCCAAATCCTGCGACGAGATCTCGGCGGGCTTCTCGGCCGCCTTGTCGAGCACCGAAGCCTTCTCCTGGTCCACCGCGACGCTGCTCTCCAGCACAATCTGCGCCGCCTTGTCCACCAGCTCTTCGGCGTCCTTCTTGCTCGCCTCGGCCGTCTCCTTCTCCTCCTCCTTCTCCTCGTTGATCTTGCGCACCTCCTCCTTGATGATCTCCAGCTTCGTGCGGTTGTCGATCTTGCCCTCGCGCTCGCCAATCGCCGCCTTCGTCTGCGCCACCACCTGTTCCGGCAGCACCGAGATGGTCGCCTTCAGCTTGTCACTGGTGGGAATGTGCTCGGGCAGCATCATCGCCCTGGACAGCAGCAGCAGCGACGGCGGCACCTTCTCGTTCAGACTCAAGTCTATCCACTCCACCAGCTGCTGCCGCAGCCGCTCCTCCGACATCCCGTACGCGCGCATGCCGCGCGACCGGCACGCCGCCTGCAGCTCCGGGTAGTCCAGCACGTCCACGCCCTCCTTCTGGATCATCTTGTCGTCCGCCGCCAGCGCGCGCAGCTTCATGCGCAGCTGGAAGCGCAGGAAGGCATTGGTGCCGATCGTGCCCACTTCCAGCACGCGGCAGATCGCCATCAGCTGCTGCCGACTGAGCGAATCCAGCGTGATCTCGTCCGCGAAGAGCTTCGAGAACTTCATGATCTCCTCCGGCGCCGGCGGCTCGCCCGCCTCGCGCGTCTTCGTCACGAACACACTGAACTCCTTAGCCGCCTCGCTGCGGTGCTCCTTGTGCTGCACCGACATCTCGTCCAGCGTCTTCTGCAGGAACTTCGCCATCTCCAGCTTCACCTTCAGGTTCTGCTTCAGCTTGTCGTCGCGATCCTTGGCCGTCTGGAAGGTGGACGGCAGCATTCCGGGGAAAAACTTGATAAACACCGGCAGCAGCAGCTCCATGAACGGCACGATGATGAAGACGGAGAAGGGCACGAGGCGGAACAGATCCGACGTGGTTCGTATCAGCAGCTGATACTCCCGACGCGTCAGCTTCTGTCCGTTCAGCACCTTCCACAGCAGCTTGCTGGAGATCCGCACGTCGATGGCCAGCAGCCGGAAGCCGTGGTAGTAGTGCAGAATCTCCGCCCACACGCGCTGTCCCAGACTCTTCTTCGCCACTGTCTTCGCCACCGCCTTCTCCGGCACCGGCGCCAGGCCGCGCTCCGCCACGTGCTCCGCCGCCTCCACGGCCTTCGCCTTCTCCTCCGTCTCCTGCTTCAGGTTCTTCACCGTCTCCTCCACCTTCGACGACGGCTGCTCCAGCCGCCGCGAGGACACGGACAGCGACCGCGCGTGCGGCACCGGGCACGCCGACAGCGCCGGCAGAGCGTTGGCCGAGAAGTGGCGCCAGCGATAGGCGGGAACATTGAGATTTCTCCCCTCCAGGCGACTCAGGCGCTGTGTCAGGCGGCCGCCGCCGTCGCCGGTGTCTGCAAGAGACAAGGATAGAGCGTCAGTGGAAGTCTTCTCTTATCAGCGCGTCGATAAGGCCTCGAGAGTGACCTTTGTAGGAAATCGAAATCACCAAGAAACAGTGTGACAAATCGCCGGCTTCATCGCCTGATATCGTAACATTTTACAGTTCCCAATCAGAGAATGTTATCGTAAAAGAAGACAGAGGAAATACAGATTAATTTATGGGAGTGTTTCGTGAAGAGAATCTTCCAATTCTACAAATATACAGTCTAAGAAAGCTGTAAACTTTGTTGAAACCTTCCAGAACTGTCTACAAAACTATACTTTCTTCTGTTACGCCTCTCATTTATGCCTTTCCCACGCCTAAAGTATCATTATGATCATTTTAAGGGCTCTCAGTGATAATTTTTATCAAAGAATGACTTTCACCTTGACGTTCAGAGGCTGTTTACTGATGGTTTACAACGGTTTAAGTGATGAATTACCATAAATAAACATTCAAAAGAGGTATGAATGAAGTATTTATCATTCTGTGTCCTGGCTTTGATAACACAAAGGGTGATTGAACCAACGAGGAAACTTTTAGGTCAAAACTTCCAATTGTCAATACTGAATTTTTATGGCGCAATACCGAATTTCATGCACTATTTCTTCACCTCTCAATCATTTCTCTGAATTTCACGATTTTTCACACAATTGCGCGTCCAGAAGAAGACATCAATTGGTGAGAAAAGCGATAATGAGCGCTAAAAGTCCCACCAGAAAACTGCCTTCTGGGAAATTGTCTCAATTTTGGGTCATCTCCGTGACTTCCAGCTCATCTGCCGACTGATCGGCGGCCGGACGATGTGCCGGCGATTGCGAGGCGCGCCCGGAAGGCCAGAGATCGTGGCATTGCGTGCGCGCTGGCGAGTCAAGGTGACCACGGAGATTAGCCGGGCAGACGGAGAGACGCCGAGAGATTGCACAACTCAGCTGATGCGTTTCTCATGCTCACGCGCTGAACTTGCGGCGCGTCTTTGTCTCTGGGCTAAATTTAGTCATCGAGTGTCTTTGTCAACTGTGCCAAATCCCGGAAAATGGGTCACAGGCGCTTTCCAGTCCCTCCGGACACCCTTTCCGCGCTGCTTTCCTCGCCGCCACGCTGCATGTTGCCACCCACGATGGCCTCAGGGTCGGCCGATGGATGAACTTGACCGGAAAATCAGATGTTTCACCTTCTGATTACGTAAAATCGGCACAAAAACTGTCAGGCTGATGGAAAATCCCCGAAGACATCTTGCTTTTCACACAATACAACCTTTTCCCTTTTCCCCCCACTGCATTCCCACTTACATCTGATGCTCCGGCTCGTGATGAGGCTTCCTCTGCGCACCAACACGTTCATCCTGTGCTGACTTCCTGGCCACTGGTGTGGAGAAAATTCACAGAAAAAGCTTCACAGCACGTTTTTGCCAGCTCCCTTTGTCTCTTCACTGGCGTCTCACATGAATATCCACGGATAATGAGAGCCACTCTCGCCACTAGACACTGCACTGTATCACCAGGAAGATGTTTGCATAGCACTACAGCAGGTAGAACAATGGGAAATGGGGAAAAAATCACACTTTCTGCACACACCACGAGAAATTTTGCCGTGATGTTTCGGGAAAAATGGGCGACTGACATCTGGAAAGTGCGCTGGAAGTCCGCTAGCAGAGACATCTGTGTGAATGTTGTGCAAATAGTCTTGTTGTTTTCCTTTTTGTGGAGCTCCTTTAGCCGTGAAGAAGTCTGATAAGAGTCGGTTTTCCCTGATATTTTCATTCCTGACTACTGTAAGAATCCCTTTAGAGTGCTGAATATGGTCAGAACAGTGAATTTCTCCCATCCGGCAGACACATAACCTCACTGCGATGGACGGAACTGCCCACTTGCTCGAGGAGGTGGATAAGAAACTGATGGTGCTTCTCAGGGACGGCCGGACACTCATCGGCTACCTCAGGAGTGTGGATCAGTTTGCCAATCTCGTCCTGCATCGCACAATTGAGCGGATTCACGTGGGTAACGAGTATGGCGACATTCCGCGGGGCGTCTTTATCATTCGCGGTGAGAATGTGGTGCTGCTGGGCGAGATAGATCGCGAGAAGGAGAACAATCTGCCTCTGACCGAAGTCTCTGTGGACGACATCTTGGACGCCCAGCGACGCGAGCAGGAGCAGCGCCATGAGAGGCACAAATTCATCTCCAAAGCCCTCAAAGAGCGCGGATTCAATCTCAATGCCGATCTCACGCACGATGATCTGTACTGATAATCTTTATTAATGCGCAGAATAAACGGTCAGCTTACAAGCACGTCTCATCGAGACCCCCTGGCGGATGAAGGCAGCGCTTCTTGGCCACCACGCCGTCCAGCGTCACATCCTCGTCGTCTATCGCGGTCAAATCCACGCCCTGCGGCTGATTCCCGTCCAGACAGAACAGCAGACTCTTGCTCATCTCCGACTCACTGAGATCGCGGATGTCCGTGGCGGAGCCGAAGTCGTCGGGCTGACTGGAGAAGGACAAGTCTGCCGGACTGGCCGTGAGGACGCTCCGGGTGAAGAGATAATCGCGAAAGGGACTCGACAGACTCTCGCCCTTCTCCGCTGACTTCTCCCCGGACGACGCGTACTCATCCTCATCCTCCTCCCGGAAGTCGCAGTCGTCCAGCGCTCGGCTCCTCTCCTCCGACACCGAACCGCCCAGCGTGGCGCCCAGGAGCATCACTGGTTTCCTCGACCTGGGCGTCATTATCGACTCCTGCAAGAGAGCGCCCCAAAAGCCATCAGAATCCCCTCCTTCGGCCGCAAACCAATCTCCCACTCCTCACCTGCATGTACTTGGGCATCCGACGCGTGGATTTGGTGATTGGCGAGATCAAACTCCTATCCGAACTCTCGTCAGAGTGATTCAGACTTCCCACTTCCGCAACCTTCCCGGACAATCGCATGCATCGCTCACTTGACACATCGGGCAGACTCTGGCTGCCACTCACGCCGCTGCCGCGCTCCTCAGCACTCCACAGATTCGATTCCGACGGGAACTTCCTGGACAGTCGCCGCGGCGCCTCTTCTGGCTCCTCCTTCGCCACCTTCTGCGTCGATTCCTCGGTTCCGGCCGCGGTTTCCACCTCGCTGGATGGCAGCTGAACAGTGTGGAAGAGCACGCGCGTCTTGGGCCTTTTCTCTGAGCCATAAGGATGCGGCGGAGTCTGAATTGCATGCGACATGCGCGTTAGAATAAGCACCAGGCGGGAAAATGAGTGGATTAGGGGAAGAGAGAAAGGCAAATTGGCCTAAATATAATTCACACTCACCTCTGAGATGTTGCTCAGCGGCGTCCTGGAGCGCTTCGGCGTCCTGGACAGGAGACTCCTGTGGAAAATGTGCCGCTTTATCGAGTCGCCCAGGGACATTTTGGCACTCTTCTCGCGGTTCATCATCAGCGGCGTGCCCTGGCCATTCTCCTTGTTGAACTGCTTGATGAGCTTCCGCTTCCTGGACGACTCCGGGAGGCTCTGGATGTGTGCGTACAGCTGCGCCAGCGCCGTGTCTGTGGTGTAGTTGGAATTGTGCGCCTGAGCGGTCTTCTCCCGATCCACGAAGCTGTAAACCGTCGCCGCCGTAGAATCCGACGTGATGGACTCGTCCAGCACCTGTCCGGGCGTGAGGGAGCGCTTCTTCGTCTGCTCCGCGAAGTACGCCTGGATGTCCGTGGCCAGCTTCAGCGGGATCTCGAACAGAGTGACTCCTTGGGCGACCATGAACGCCACGACTGGAGACATTTGCTGCGACATCGCGTGCAGCGCCTCGGGGCTGAGCTTCCGGGGGCAGATGAGGTGTGGCGTGAAGAGCGTGGCCAGGCTGCTGGCGGACATCTTGTTGCTGTTCACGAAGAGTGTCGTGCGATGCAGAAGCGCCAGCAGGCGCTCGAGCAGCTGCCTGTTCTCCTCCGGCAGCAGCAGGAGCAGCAGTTGCAGACAGTTGGTCAGCCTGGCGTCCAGGCCCTCTGTCCCGGACGCCATCAGCTGCGCCAGCTGACAGTGGGCAGAGTGGTAGGCATCCGTGAGCAGTGGCTCCGGAAGATCCGCCAGGAAAGCCTTAAGAACACTGGCGCAATCGTGCACTGTAAACGTCGCCAGCGACAGATCCACCTTCTGGCCCTGGCAGAAGGCATTCTTCAGCTCTGTCTGCCGCGAGAGCGCCCCAGTGCGCCGGAAAATGCCCTCCTGGATGATGTTCTGCTCCTGCGTGAGGAAATCCATCAACATTTGCGTCTGCTCCAGCATTTCCGGCGTCAGCGGCTGCCGGCGCCCATCCACGGGACTGGCGGCCTTCGCAGAGGCGCATCCCTTGGCCTTCCGGTGCAGCCTGTTGAGCTTCCGGAAGATTCCCCGATCGTCTGGCTCGTTCGCACTGCAAAGACACACACAAACACGCATTCAAGCCTCAGCTCCGCACGCAAGCCCACGGCCACTTACAACTCCTCCGTGTTGAGGTCCAACTCGAAGGACAGGTGCATCCGCACCAGGATGGAGAATTGCTCAGGGTTCTCGAAGCGCAGCCGGTCAGCGAGAAGCCGGTTGGACATTTTTCACCTGTTGTGCGCTTTGTCTGTCACAATCTTCCCACTTTTCGCCCACTTCTCGCTCACTTTTCACCCAAATTTCAACACATTATCACAATACGAGCACAGTTGAACACGACGCAACTGATAAATAGACAATTTGCATACTTTTTCTGCTGGAAAATCGAGGAAAATGCACCAGCGACGCAGAAAAACACTCAACAGACAGTCTTTGATTTGAACACGAAGCCACCTAGCGGAAAAAGATGGTAAATCCGATAAAATTTCATCGGCATGAAATCCGTTGCGACAACAGAAGAACTTGTCCTATGAAATGTCTTCGGGAAGAGAAAGCAGAAGTTCTACTTTTCTGTTTTTGAAAGAAATGCCTAAAATATTCATTCAAATCTTGAAACATGGCCTAATTTCAGAGGACTATTGACGAAAGTAAATGTTCAGAGAGTTGAATTACAGCACAATCTATGCACTTATCAACAGAAATGTCCAACATCTGTCGTGAGAAATTTCGCCAACGGAAGCGCTTCGACAGGAATAAACAATCAAATGTTGAAACTTCAGTTTGCAGAGTAAACAAACGGGAAGCAATTGAAGCGAATCCGCAAAAATCCACGCTGATAAACAGCGAGTGGCGAAAAATGCCAAAGACGCAGTGTCAAGCAGACCTGCTCACGTTTCCAGCCACTGACTGTGTGATTGTGAGACGGAGATGCTAGTGTGAGGCACGATAAGGGGGACAAAGTCGGGACGTCCGCGCTAATCAGTAAACACTCGCCAGTTGAGCAAATCGCTCGCATCTCTCTGCACACGTCGAGGTGAGGCTGCGCGCGGGAATTCGTGGCAGGAAGCTGAGTAACCGCTCTGTGCTCTCTCGACAGGAAGGATCAACGATGCCCAGGCAAACGGTACTGGTGACAGGCGGCGCCGGATACGTCGGCTCGCACACGATTCTGGAGCTCCTCAGCGCGGACTACGCCGTGGTGTGCGTGGACAATCTCTGCAATGCGTACAAGCAGAAGGGCGCCGCTCTGCCGGAGTCCCTGGTGCGCGTCCAGGAGCTCACCGGCAAGGGCGTGACATTCTACGACGTGGACATTCGCGACAGGGAGGCACTGATGGATGTCTTCGCGAAGGTAATCAATCTCTCTCTCCTGACTCATCGACTTTATTGCCACACACATACACTCAGGGAATCGCCGGCGCTTCCGGCAAGTGGCTGCCAGTGGCACGATACCCATTCTCGTCTGCCACGTAGTTCACCACGTACTTGACGTTGTCGGGGCCCAGGTACGCCCAGGAGCCCTGGCGCACCAGCACGTTCCCGCCCGCCGACTGCTTGAGCGCGCCCTGCTCGGCCGTGGCGATGCCGTTGGCCGTGAGATAGCTCAGCGCGTACTGCCCATGCTCGTCCCTCACCTCCGTCCGCTCCAGCACCGGGATGCGCGGCTCCAGGCCGTCCGGGAGCGGCACGGCGGCCGCCAAGCATGCCAGGAGTGCAATAGCTGCGATCTGTAAGACTCCCGTGGTCAGAACACCCGTCCGGACACTCTCTTCCCCTCTTCCACTTACCACTTTCATCGTTTCGCCTTCTCTGTGTGACTAAACAGGCCGCCCGGGCCGGGGGTGTCTTTATAAGCGCCCATTTGGGGGCCACTTTCACTGTGGGCGGCCTCGTTGAGCAATTCCCCGGGGAACTCGTTTCCCGATGCGATGCGCAGAGAGTGAGTCTCATGGGAAAGTCACTCGAAACACCTTGTAAAGCACTCTACGCGCCCGATAAGATGGTCAGGGGGCGGATTCGGGGGCACGGAGGCCGCTGAAGTGCCCAGTGCAGCCCTGACTGCGCTCTCTGAAGGCCCAGATGATTATCTAATGACACTTCTCTCCCTTCCGCAGCACAAGATCGACTGCGTGGCCCACTTTGCTGCGCTGAAGGCCGTCGGCGAGTCCTGCAAGTATCCGCTGCAGTACTACCAGAACAACATCACAGGCACCAGCATCCTGCTGGAGGTGATGGCGCAGGCGGGCTGCTTCAACTTCGTGTACAGCTCCAGCGCCACGGTGTACGGCGAGCCCAATTTCCTGCCGCTCACCGAGGATCATCCCACGGGCAAGTGCACGAGTCCGTACGGCAAGAGCAAGTACTTCACCGAGGAGATCCTCAAGGATCTGTGCGAGTCCGACAAGCGCTGGACGGCGGTGTCGCTGCGCTACTTCAATCCCGTCGGCGCACATCCATCGGGGCGCATCGGCGAGGATCCCAGCGGGGAGCCCAACAATCTCATGCCCTACATCTCGCAAGTGGCCGTCGGCAGGCGCTCCGTGCTGCGCATCTACGGCACCGACTATCCCACCAAGGACGGCACAGGCGTTCGCGACTACATCCACATCGTGGATCTGGCGCTGGGACACGTCAAGGCGCTGGACAAGCTCGCCACCGGCGAACTGCGAGGCTTCGTGGCGTACAATCTGGGCACGGGCGCCGGCTACTCCGTGCTGGAGATGGTGAACGCCTTCGCGGACGCGTCGGGGCAGCGAGTGCCCTTCGAGGAGTGTCCGCGGCGCGCCGGCGACATCGCCGAGAGCTACGCAGACGCGTCGCTGGCCGCCAAGAAGCTCAACTGGCGCGCCCAGAAGGGCATCCGCGAGATGTGCGCCGACACGTGGAATTGGCAACAGTCCAATCCCAACGGCTACGCCGCCGCCAAGCTTTAGCACCAAAGATTACATTGTCGTCGCCAAAGGACATCCAGTCAACTTTCTTTTCTTACATTCTTCTCAGCATTCTCGCACTCTTCGTTCAGCTTCTCGTCCAAATTCAATGTTGTGCCATTATTCTCTGTTCCTGTGTTTTTCAATGTTAAGCAAATAAAGATGATTTGAATGGAAATTTCGCCAAATAATTACAAATAATCATGAAAATATTTTGGTAAAATCGCTAAAATTGTTATATATAAGTCGTTTAAAAGCCATGTTCTAAAGTATCCACGCGTGAAACTGTTTTATATTAAATGCTTTGAATTGCTCGAGCTTTTGGCCGGGAGAAAAGTCCGTGATTCCAAGCATTGGCGTAGTCAAGTTTTAGCTCAGGTGATCGTCAAGACGAAGTGAAAAACACTGCGCTTATTATCAATTTCGGCTCATGATGTTCAGTTTCTTCTGCTGTTTGGCCTGGGAAAATGCGGCGGACGAGGATAAGTTTCCGGATTTTGACGTCTTGAGTTGTCAGTGAGCCGAGGTGATTGCTGTGGGCGGGGCAAATGCGGTGGGCGGAGACTCAGACTAGGTTGATTCGTCATCTCCGACTGAAAGAACATAGAGAAAAATCACGTATTTTCTCCCTTGAACGCTGTTTTACAAAATTCTGCCTTTGAGGTTTGTAGAGATGATTTCGGGATCCAATATTCCATCACGTCTGAGACTAAATTCAATCTAAAGAAACCTTTAATTGTGTTCACAAGTATTTGAGCAGGATTCGAACTCTGAGCCAATATTGCCAGGCTAAAGATCGACAGCATCAAAAGAATTGACTTCATTTGATGCCTTAAATTGGGATCACACTGAGACAATTTTCATGAATTCCCCACGAGACTGAGCGCGTTGTTGAGACTCTAATCAACTTACAGTGAAGAGAAAAGAGAATTGATAACAATTATACACATTTAAGAGTTGATTAGACACATTTCATTGCGAGATTCGGTTTTATTCGGCCTCAATACTATTGTAGATATTTTTACGAGTAATTTCCTGAATTTCTGGCCACAAAATTATCAACTGTTGCTTTGAAAATTAATTTTTGTCGCGTTTTGTGTAAAAATGCCGCTTGGGGAGATACTTGAAACTAAGATGAAACATGTAATGTTTCATGCTTGATGGTCAAGTTTCTTGATTACCATTTTGCTTTTCCTTCGCAATTTTTCCTGCCTATGAGAATTAAAATTGATTCAATTCTAGGTCATAAGTTCATAGCGTATTCTGTTGTTTACAAATGCGAAATAGAGATTGAAGTGTGTTTATGAGATTCCACGGAAAAACCTTAAAAAAGTTCTTCATTCTCGCGAGAATAAAAACCTTATCTGAACCTTGGCGTAGAGCGCATTTTTCTCAGCAAAGCCGAATTGTTGACAATGCCAACGGGTTTGTCGGAGCCCAACGCTGCGTTTCAGTCTGCTGGACAGAGTGGGAATTGCTGCTGATTCTCAGTGCCTCGACCAGTCGTTCGAGTTGCCTCTGAGCGATCGGTCAGTCTCTGTTCATCGCACGAGTGCTCAGTAAGAGTGTCCAGTGACTTCCCTCTGGAAAGCGCATCCTGATCGTTGTAAGTGCTACATAAAAACCCGGGAAATCCATCGTGAGATCCATACAAAAATAGTCACAGTATAATTGGAGTATTAGAGACTCTCTGAGGCTTTAATTGCTTTTCCGATGGGGAAATTTTCAACTTGTGCGGTGAAATAATTTTTATAATTACTATCAGCGCCACAGAGGTCACATTTTAGGATCACTGAGAAAAATTTATTGTGCAAATGCGAGGGGAGAAAAAGCCGAGAGACAAGTTACAATATCACGAGTTAATCGCGGGCTTTTTGCCGAAGCACCTCGCAAAGATGGAACCTTGAAGCATCGCGCCAAGTAGAACGCGATCTTTTCTGCGAAGTGACCAAATAATTGTATATATTTGCTCAATATCATAGAGACACGGACAAAGTGCGCTCTTAAGATTATTTGGTTGGAGAAAAAGAGATTTTTCTGGTAATATTTGTGCTTCACAATCTTTTATTTGGTCACACTTGCGCGATGTGGAACAGGTTTTTGTACAATATCAATAATAAAAAGGGGCTATTCCGCAGTGAGAAATGGCGCACTTTGGAAAAACCATCGCGCGAAAGGCGGGAAAACGACGTCAAAATTGGTGAGAATTCCAAGAATGTCCGGTCATTTGGCCCCCAGACAATGAGTTTCCAGGCAAAACTCATCGTTATCTCTCGCCTTCCACATCCATATTCAAAAGAAAAGAGCATTCAATGATAAATTAAGACATGAACTCAACACAAGCAATTCTCCGCAGACCTGTTGTGTGATATTGATGAACCCATTTTGCTTTTATCTGACTCTGGCTCTGGCTCAGCATCTGGATAACGAGTTTGTGTATGGTTTTTAGAGAGGATTATATGCGCGACTGACCAATACAAGTGGGGAAAAATCACGGAAGGGTATTGAAAAAAAAAAGAGAACTGAGCAATAGCAATAAATTAACACACAATCACCACAAGTTATCGTCTCTCAATATTTCTTTTACACCTCTTTTTATTCAATCCATCCAGAGACACACCAAAAAGGCCAACAGAGATTGAGGAGCCAAAATGCGTCTCCTCATCGTGGCAATCCTCATCGTGGGACTGAATGCACAGGGCGACACTGGCAGTCTGGACGATCTCATCAAGCAGATCTTCACGTCCACTCCGGGAATTGGCGGTCAGGTGGTCACTCCGGTGCCACCCACGCAAGCGCCCCCGACGCGACCACCCACGGGCCCAGCGCCGAATCCCTCTCAGGTGCGCCACAAACACCTCCATTTGCACGTGGCTCGGCGTCATTGGATCGATTTCACGATCATAAATCAATTTCGCACACGCGACGTGCTTTTTTGCCCATGAAAAATTCGGGGATTTTCAGTTACACAACAACGCAAGAAGACATTTTCTTGATCTTGAACTCTCGTCCTTCGCGTTCTTGCGAATTCAAGCAACTCTCATTGCTGTGCACAGACAGAAAAGATTATCTAAACAGGCGGAGAAGTTGTTTGATTGACTCGTTAGCAAGTCTCTCCAGTCCATTGCTTTTCCCAAGGGGAAGACATTACGGCCGGAAGTGGTGTACAGCTCACCAACTATGTCAGAATAAAATCAAACAAAGATTTCTTGAGTAGATTCATAACATCACAATATATTACGCTTCTTTCTGAATCAAAATCCACCGTTTTCAGACTCTTAAATCAAGAATTTTAAGGGCATTTTAAATATGAAAAGAAGTTAGGAATGAATGACTAGTTGAAGAAAGTTTTGAGCATCTTTGACGAAGACTTCCTCCCTTTCAGGGCTGCGATGGCGGTGAATGCGTGCCGTACTACCTGTGCTCCCAGACAGGCAACATCATCACGGACGGCGACGGTCTGCTGGACATCAGGATCGATGTGGAGAACGAGCCGCGCCCGTGCACGGACTACTTCGAGAAGTGCTGCGCCGTGAAGAACAAGCAGACGAAGCCCATCATCCCGCCGGTGCAGATCCGCGAAGGGTGTGGCAATCGCAACCAGGACGGCATCGGCTTCCGCATCACCGGTGACAAGGACAATGAGGCGCAGTACGGCGAGTTCCCCTGGATGATCGCCGTACTGAAGGAGGAGCAGGCCATCTCTCAGATCCTTAATGTCTACCAGTGCGGTGAGTTTGCGCAATGAGAAGACATTTTTTTTCGGGAAAAAGAAAGTAATTTTTTCCGCTGACGCATGGCGAGAAACGAGTTTTTGCTTATTTGCATATTTCTTACTTAATCTTTTAATGATGCTTTGCAATCTTTGCCATCTCTGCGATTATCCAAGATGCTCAGTTATCTGATCTTCCATTTTGCACGATCTTAATCGTCTTTGATCTCTGTCAACAGGTGGAAGCTTGATCCATCCGCAGGTCGTGCTGACGGCCGCGCATTGTGTGGACGGGAAGCAACCGAGCGTTCTGAAGATCCGCGCTGGCGAATGGGACACGCAGACGAAGAATGAGATCTTCGCACATCAAGATCGCGAGGTGGAGAGTTTCGTCATCCATCCGGAGTACTACAAGGGCGCCCTGTTCAACGACATCGCACTGCTCTTCCTCAAGACGCCCGTGGATCTGGCCGAGAACGTTCAGACTGTCTGCCTGCCGCCGAAGGACTTCAACTTCGACCGAACGCGATGCTACGCCTCGGGATGGGGCAAGGATGTGTTCGGCAAGGAGGGCAAGTACCAGGTGATCCTCAAGAAGATCGACTTGCCTGTGGTGCCGCGCGACACGTGCCAGAACGCCCTCAGGACCACGCGATTGGGCAAATTCTTCGAGCTGCACAAGAGCTTCATCTGCGCCGGCGGCGATCCTGGCAAGGACACGTGCAAGGGCGACGGAGGATCTCCTCTCTCCTGTCCCTCCGGACCGGGATCCACGCGATACTACCAGGCCGGAATTGTGGCCTGGGGCATCGGCTGCGGCGACAACCAGATTCCCGGAGTCTACGTGAATGTGGCGAGCTTCCGTGACTGGATCGACGAGCAGATGACGTTCAAGAGACTGGACACCAAGTCCTACAGTCTGTAGAGAGACAGAGTCCTCGTGGATGTGTTTTTTATCACTGATGAATGAAAAATAAATAACTTTCGAAGCTCAGTTGTGGCGGGTTTTTCCCATCAAGATCAACTTCACGAGTGATTCAATCTGCAATTTAGTAGCTGGAGATTTACATCACTGCTACTTATGTGCGTTCGTGCGGAAAGTCAAATCTCGCAAAATCGCTGAGACGCCATCAGGGAGACCAAATATGACGCGTTATACATTTCTGTCGATGCCATAGAACCCGAGTTATGAGGATATCAAGAGTTTCACACTGTGCTAAGGTTGTTATGTTAGCAAATAGCACGATTTTTAACAGTTTTCCGAGACTCCTTGAAAACTCCATTCTTATCGGACAGCAAACGATAGAATGAATTTCTAACTTATGACCTTATATGAACTCTTCCAGGATATTTCCATCAAATTAACGAATTGTTTGTTTTACATGAATTCATTATTTCAATATGTTTCTCAAATAATGTCATATGTTAGTATGTAATAATTAATTGTTTCCCATACACTTAAATCAATTAGCAAACTGCTCACTCTTTATCACGTCAGTTGTGAAATTAGTGACTGAATTTCACTGGTCTGCCTTTGTGGTATCAGCTAAAATTCTTGTTTTATTCCTTCTCCAAGATACTCTTTGAATTATTTTCCATTTGAAATGTGGTTCAAAGAGTGCAAAGTATTTCAAGATGTGAATATGAATTCCTGAATTGCCTCAACCATTGGACAAATCTTCAAATGCCAGTAAGATTAGCAAATGCACGATAACAAGATTACCGATCTGAAAATATATTAACAAATGTTATTTAAATTTGACTGCAATTATTAGCGATAAATACAACTTACGGCCAAGAAGATGGTGTAATTCACAGGTTCAAAATGAGCTGACATTGTCAAAGGCACGTGAAATCGTCTCAGGAGAATCTGACGAGCGGACGATGATTCTAACATGAATGTATCGAATATCTCTATCGACGTATTGTATTTTTCCGCCGCGCTGTTGAAAACTTCTCCACAATGGCCAAGATTGACGATCATTACTAAGCTGGGAAAGGCGAACAACACTAATCCAGCAGTAGTATATAAGATTTTAAAACTACCGTCCATATAAAAGGCAAATCTTATGATGGCATGAATGAAGAAACTTAAGTAAACCGTTTCCGTATTCTTTGCAATGAACAATATTGTACTGAAAGAGTCATTCATAAGCTTCACAATGTCTGAAATTATTAACAAGAGCTTCAAAATATATATGGCATTTGATTTATTTGTGTTTTGAGAAACTAATTTATGCACTTTATCGATTTCGAAGGAAAAATACCGAATGAAGTTAGTAGTATAGAGAGTAAGTAGTTTTATGGAATACAGGGCGAAAAAGAATGAAAATACAAAAATATTTCGAAAATTCCCATTCAGAGTTCTAACACAACTTGTATTAAGTATCAAACACCTATTAATCACTGTTATAATGAAGAATAAAATGTAGCAAAAAGATAGAAGATATAATTGCGAATTTGCGGAAAATATGACTTTTTGCTTGTACAAAAAATGTGTGGAATTTTCTTTTAAAAGCATCTCATAGCGATTAATGAAGCATATTAATTCTAAGTGAGATTTTCTACTTTTCACAACTAGAATCACCGTCGACAGGAACCAAAGGATAACACCCAATTTTTCCCAGATATACAAATCTAAAATCACATCGGATGGTCCAAAATTGTACGCCTTCTTATATGCTTTCTTTTCATATTTTGCTATTATTATGATGTAGCAAAATGTCCTTAATAGGCTCATGATATAGTAAATTAAGAGACCAATGTATAGAAAATAGCACAACTTCTTTCTTGCACTGCATCTCTTGAAGTCTGTCAGGAATATAAATTTATGGATTTTTAACAGTCTTCCGAGACTTCTTGAGAACGTCATTCTCAGCTGACAGTGGACGATAGACTGAAATATCTAATATGTGAAATCTCACACTATTTCAATAAATTATACAGATGGAATTGTTTACTTTACTCAATTAATTTCTTTCACGATTTTCTTCGTATCATAATTTATAGATTGGTGTCTAATGATAATATAGTATCGATTTTTCCTCATTTTGAACTCCTCATTAGTCTCAATACACTGATGTTGTCTCTGTGGAATATCTGCTAAACAGGAAAAAAAAAGCTAAAGGAAATCCCAACTCTTCCATAAGCACATGCGAAACGTGTGCTTATCTACTGTTTTGTCACAGTTTATTACTTTTGCGATCAAAGAAATGCATCTCAGAGTTGGGTTTTTACCATGTAATCGAGAAATACTAAACAACATAGTTTAGCTGGATTACACTAAGCTGCACAGCTAAGCAACCTTGCGCGAACCTTGACTTTAGCACATGCCGCCAACGGGTTTGTAAGAATCCAATACTGCGTTTCTGTCGCACGAGCAGAGTTGATAATGCTGCTGATCAGCGGCGCTTCGACCAGTCTTTCAAGTTGCCTCTTAGCGATCGGACAGTTTTTGCTAAGTAAAGTATTGATTTCAGTTGTATCTAATAACAAAAAGTGTTGAATTGATATTAAATTCTTTAGTTTCTGTCTTAAAGCTATTGTTCTTCATGTTATTCTGAATCATTCTAGATTACATGTTTGGAATTCATCAACAAGTTTTATGAGAAAAAGTGGCTCGTGCTTTGTTAAAAACCACGGAAGGACATTTAAAAATTAAATGGACGCAATAAATAGTGTAGAATTTCCACGTGCGCCCTAAATTTATGTCTTTTTCGTCATGCAAATAAATCTACATCAGTTGAAAACACATAAACAAGGACTTCTGACTATTAAACCAAGCAAGATCAAAGAAAATTCAAATTAAACTTTGTCTGTCATTAATTATTATTTATTATATATTTTTTCACTTATTTCGCGAGTCACTTTTAAAGTGTTTGCTCGAATATTTAACATTATTAAACGATACTTCGCTATATGTGTTGGTTTTTACAATATCAGTGACGAAGATTGCAAATCAGAATTTTCATTTTCATATCCTTTATTTCTCAGACAATAAGTCAACAATCTAACGAAGCCGGAAATGCAGCCATTGAAGCTTAGTCTTCTTCTGTCCATAATCTTCATTGTGGGATTAAATGCGCAGAACAATACTAGAAGTCTTGATCAAGTCGTAGATTTGATCTTCTCAGGAAATGAGACAATCAAGCAGGATCCACCAAAAGAGCAGAACAACAGGACACTCAATGCCACTCTCACTGACCCTTTGAAAGATGTCATCCAGAACACTTCTGCACCTTCTGCACCCAAACCTTCCACAGCAAAACCCGTTCCGGTAGGATCCTTTGCTCCTGGACGTTTTCATCTGCACGATATTAGCATGAATATCTTCTTTCAGGTCTGCACCGGCGAATGCGTGCCATACTACATGTGCGAAGAAGATGATGTGGTTCCTCTTGAAGATCAGCCCGATGGTGATTCCGACGAGTTCGATTGGTGTCCAAATTATTTGCACGTCTGCTGCAATACCAACAAGACACAATCCCCGAAATCCGTCCAACGAAGACACGCAGAAGAAGTGAAGTGTGGTCAGCGCAATCCGGATGGTGTTGGCTTCAGCATCACGCCTGGAGATGACAATGAGGCGCAGTTCGGAGAGTTTCCCTGGATGGTGGGCTTGCTGAAAGAGGAGCAGTTTGACGACGGAATGAACAGAAGTGTCTACCAGTGCGGTGAGTTTGAGATGCTTTCCGGCTTTGACGTTGTCTTATTGTCCTTCCGATCCCATCAACAGGTGGAAGCTTGATCCATCCGCAGGTCGTGATGACGGCCGCGCATTGTGTGAGAGGATTGAATGGCGGTCTGAAGATCCGCGCTGGCGAATGGGACACGCAGACGAAGGACGAGCTCTTGCCGCATCAGAATCGCGAGGTGGAGCGAATCGTTCTCCATCCACAGTACAGTAAGAAGTTTAATCTCAACGACATCGCGCTGCTCTTCCTCAAGACGCCCGTGGATTTGGCCGAGAACGTTCAGACTGTCTGCTTGCCGCCGAAGGACGCTAACTTTGATAAGAAGCAATGTGTTGTGTCCAGTTGGGGCAAGAATGTGTTCAAGCATGAGGAGAAATACCAGGTCATTCTGCAGAAGATCGAAATGTCCGTGGTGCCACACGATCAATGCCAGAAGGCGCTGAGGACGACTTCTTTGGGAGAAAATTATCAGCTGCAGAACACCTTTATCTGTGCCAGCGGCGAAGCTGACAGGGACACTTGCCAGGGCGACAGTGGGTCGCCTCTTGTTTGCCCCTCTGCGCCAGGATCCACGCAATATTATCAGGCTGGGATCATGTCCTGGGGCGTCGGTTGTGGCAACAACCAGATTCCCGGAGTCCTAGTCAATGTCGCGAGCTTCCGTGACTGGATCGATGCGCAGATTGATTCGCAGAGTCTTTAGAGCCTCTTGAGCTAGTTCTGTATAGAAATTGTTTATAGAAATAAAAGTGTGGCGGGATTTTCCCATCAAGATCAACTTCACGAGTAATTCAATCTTCCTAGTCAGTTTATCATGGTTGTTATTCAGAGTTCTTGACAACGAGTTTCTTGTACAGATAATTGCTGTTGCATACTAAATCTTCCGTCCTCGTCCAGACTCTCGAGTTGCATCTCAACGATTAGTTAGTTTCTGTTCACAATTAGCAAATTTCCCTGAATGGTGGAGGTGTTGAGAGTCTCTTTGACAGACAACCGTGACGGAAAACGTATCAAGATCGCGATGTGGAGCGCTTCGTTTCATATTTGATTTGATTAATTTTTTTTATCGCCGCTCAGGAACAATTTACTGCTGATGGGAATATAATACAGATTTTTCTTAAATAATACCATAACCACGAATCACTGAGGAGAGAGAGAAGCATCGTCATATCCGTAGGCTGTGTGGCGTGCGTAGTGTTTTGATGGTTTTGATAATTGATATTTCATTAACACTATATAAAGCTTGCTGACTATAACAAGAATCTCACGTTAAGGGTAAGAAGAGTAACAAATATAGAGATTCGGAAAGCATAGCCTCGGAATTTTGAGAACAAATCCGATCAAAAGTCCTTCGTCCACGACATCGTGCTGTTCTTCCTGGCGACGCCCGTGAATGTGTTTAGAAATGAGCACAATTTCCAGGTGATCCTCAAAAAGATCTTCTTGCCTGTGCATGATAATTGCCAGAATACATTGAGGAATGAGATTGTCAGGAAGAGATTCTTCTGCGCCAGCGGCAAAAATGGGAAGAAGACGTGCGTGGCTGACCAAGGATCGCTCTTTGTTTGACCCTCCGCATCAGGATCTGCACACTCTTATCAGACTGGCGTTATGTCTTGGATTTTGGGTTGTAACTCTCCTGGAGTCTTTATCAATATGGTCTACTTCCACCACTCGATTGGCGAGCAGATGGACTCCTGGTTTGTGTACAGCGAAATAGTGAATGAAATAAAAGTGTGGCGGGTTTTTCCACAAATTATCAACAAGTGTGTGACTCAATCTTTCCCAGAGAGTTGTTGTGCAATTTTCGCAGTTTGTTGTTAATGATAATCTGACGGGGGAAATCTCAAGATTAAGTGTTTGCAAATAGTTGTGACTTTGATGATTACATCTCAACACTTTTATTGATTACACTTCTGTCTCATTATGCCAGCTAATTCACGATCAGTTCTGGTCGTATTTTATTTTATTGAAGATTGTACGTGCAATGACACGCGCCAAAGTGTGAGGTTTCAATTCAGTCTCGCCACAGTCTCATTGACCCCTAAAACAAAGTGTTTTTGCAGTCCTTCAGAAGAGCAATGAATTACCATTTGAATAAAGCCCATTGCGAAGCCGCTAATCATGAGTTTTTGGCAGATATATTGCCGGTTTATCGGAAGGGCAACGACGCTTTCCGGAAGTGACTTAGAGAAATATAATTTGTAGCGACTTTTGGATATTCTGTCTTTTTTTTGTCTCGCAATAGGATACAAAGAACTGAAAGAATAGAGAACGTTGAGCGAAGAATTGAAAGCCACGAATATTTGGAATTTGGATGGAAAATTACAGATGAATTTAAAAAAGTCACTCTCAAATTCAACCGGTTTAATAAAATGCATTTTTGCAATATATTCTCCCCGAGAATTTCTGTGAGAATGGAAGAGAAAATGTTTTCAGGTAATATTTTTGGTGTTTTTAGTGGTTTTATCACTTTTCCTGCCGCACTTTGCGTCATGTCTTCAACAGGATCGCAATTATTTTTGTCAGTAATAAATTTCACTCCACACTGATAAGCCCAATTAGCATGAGGAGACACGCCAAAAGCCATGGAAGCCCTCAAGGCTCTTGTCTTCAGCCGCGGCAACTACAAAAAGTCCTCGTGCAGTGATTTTTTCTCCTATCTTAATCTTAATTGCTTGTTTGCTGTACAACAAATTCTGTGATGCTTCTTTTTGGCGGAGTGTATAAAACTGGATTCGCTCCAAGAGGCCACACTCGAGTGACTTCGGGGGCCTCGCTTGGGCTCTTTGGTGGGACGCAACACGAAATTCCACACCCGATCGTCAGTCTCTCGAGAGATCTTCACAGTGACTGTCCGTTGGCGTGAGTAAAACCGACCCAGACGCACGTGTTCAGTCAACAATGCAGTCACGCTGTGCCCTCCTGGTCGTCCTGCTGATCGCCAGCGCCGGTGCGCAGGACAATCTCATCGATCGCGTGCAGGAAGTCTTCGGCAGCGGCGTCCAGACCAACTCCACGCGCGACGGCACCGGAGGATTCGGTGAAATTGTCACGCCAGAACCGATTGTTGAGGTGAGTCTTGGGCAACAGAGAGACACTCATTAAGATTGTGCAAAAGAAAGTGAAGACATTAATTTTGCAATCGAGAGCGATAAATGCGACAACTTTGCGGAAGTCCAGACGATGAAAAACTCCTCAACTTGATATCGTCGTCATAATGTGCGTTGTCCAAAAATACGGGAAATTAATGAGGCACGTTAGAAATTTAATTATGCCCCAACAACAAGACACAAGAGTACACAGCAACTAAGTGTCGTAGCGGTAGATTTGCATAAAAATGCAGACTCACTCATTAATCTTTTCTCAATATTCTTGATTTCATGTTTATTCTCAAGCCTGATTAATTGATAGAGGAGAATTTGTATGAAAAATCAATTATTTTATTTCATAGAAGTAAAGCTTTTGTTCGATGACAATGCATAGGAAAAAAGGCGGGGCTTAGAAGAGGGCGTGGCTTATTTCATTCAATATCTCAGATTCTGACGCACGAATTGAGCGGATATTGAGAGATTTTAATTGTTAATTAATATCAAAATGTTTCGCATTTGAATACTGTTGAAATCAATTAAATATTCTATAAAAATACTTTTGTGAATAATTGACAACAATAATTGATGTTTGTATTTAATTTATTGAATGTATTTATTCATAGATTAATATCAAATTCACATTAAAAATTCTTATCTGACTTATTTTAATTTCTTCTATCAAGATTTATCGACATATTAATAGTATTACTAATAGTAGATGCACAGCGATTAATCAAATTTTAGGACTTTCACAGTGAAAATATGCAAGAAATGCACATTTATTTGAGATCATCATATTTTCCCCCTGTAAACTGTGATTTTGCGCTTACGCCACTTGTTGGCTGAAGTGTCTCTCTCCGTGGCCATAAAGTTTTCGAATGGCCCCTTTTGCCCATTAACCACGGGTTTTCTCCGCACTATATTCTCGGAATTTCTTCTGCTGCAGCCCACCACGGCGCCCACTGTCCTCACCACAGGCACCGGAGGTCGCTGCACCTGCGTGCCGTACTATCTCTGCAACCCGGACACGAACACGACGCGCCAGGACGGGCGCTTCGACGGCTTCGGCGTGATCGACATCCGCTTCGACCCGCGCACGTGCCAGGACTACTTGGACGTGTGCTGCGGCGAGGGGAAGCAGCGCGAGGAGCCCATCAAGCCGCCGCCCACGACCTCGCAGCCCAACCGGCCGCGCGGCTGCGGCGTACGGAATGTCGGCGGCCTGGACTTTACACTCTCCGGAAACACGGTAAGCGGCGGCGGCGCGCTGTGCCCGGGGATGTTTTGCTCACATTCTTTGTTCTCTCTGTTGCGTGACAGAATGAGGCCGGCTTCGGGGAATTCCCATGGACAACAGCTCTGATTCGCATCCGTGACGAAGTGTGCCTGTGCGGCGGCTCGCTGATTCATCCCAGTGTTGTGATGACGGGGAATCACTGTGTGCGCCTGGTGCCACCCAAGGAGCTGAAGGTCAGGGCTGGCGAGTGGGACACGCAGACGACCAAGGAGCGCCTGCCCTTCCAGGAGCGCACAGTGTCGCAGATCATCTCGCATCCTAGCTATGACATCAAGACGCTGGCCAACAATGTGGCGCTGCTGGTACTCACGGCGCCCTTCCAGCTCGCCGATCACATCAATCCCATCTGCCTGCCGCAGCAGAACTTCCTGTCCACCAGTGACGCGTGCTACGCCAGCGGCTGGGGCAAGGATGTGTTCGGCAAGGCGGGCAAGTATAGTGTGATCATGAAGCGCGTGCAGCTGCCCATGGTGCCGGCGCGCCGGTGCGAAGTGGCGCTGCAGAAGACACGCCTGGGGCCAACCTTCCGTCTGGATCCCACCTTCGTCTGCGCCGGCGGCATCGCGGGCATCGATACGTGCACTGGTGACGGCGGGGCGCCGCTGGTGTGTCCAGTGGAGCCTGCCGGCGGCAATCGCTACGTGCAGACGGGCATCGTGTCGTGGGGCATCGGCTGCCTGGAGGCGCACCCGGCGGTGTACACCCACGTGGCGCTGTTTCGCAACTGGATTGACAACCACATGAACCAGCTCAACTTCGGCAGCGCCTCCTACACGCTCGAGTGATTACAGCAGCAGATCCTCCAGGTAGTCGTTGAACTCCTCCTCGCGGCTCTTGTCCTCCACCGGAGCGTCTGGAAGGCAGGAGTCAATGTAATGCACTGTGCGTGAGAATAAAGAGTGTTTGTTTTGTAAGAGAGAATACCTTTGGCTGCCCAGATGTTTTGGCTCTCCGGCTCGGGATCTGCTGCCGCTGCACTCTCCGGAGCCGCCTCAGCAGCTGTAGATGTGGTGGGAACTTCCGCGGACGGCCGTCTCTTCGTCACTCCCCCGATGGACTTGGATCTCCTCTTCGCCAGTCGCTTCTTCGTGTGATAGTTGAGCTTCCGAGAGCAATCCGGACACAGTCTGACCTTCACCAGTGCCGACTTCCTCTGCCCATGCTCCACGTAGTTGAAGTTCACCTCCCAGCTGGCCAGTCTCTCCCTCTCCTGGCAGTGCTTGTTGCCGCACAGAAACTGCCCTCTGCCCAGCACAATCTCGTTCTCCGTGCGCCATCGCAAACCCACCTGATTCCTCTTGTACTGACTCAGGTCGCAGATGCAGTACTCGCGGAAGAGCTTGCTGTAGTAGCTCTTGGCCAGCTGGCGCTCCCACGAGAGATTCTGCTCGCTGTCATCCCACAGGAACTGATGATTCTCCCGGATCACGTCAATGTCTGTCTTCCCTCTTCGCGCTATCTTCTTCTGCTCCTCTATTTCCGCCATCAGAGCCATGTGCAGTTGATACCGATCCATGCCCTTAAAGATGCCCACCGCCATGGTGAATCAGTGAGAAAAAACTCCACAGAAAAGAGGCAAAACAATTCCCACGATAAGCAATCAATTGAGGTTGTGTTGCACTGTCAAAAAGTACACTGCAAAAAATGGCATTTCGCTCTTTCGTCCGAACTTTCGAAGATAGTAAACAACAATTGCGTGTGTGTGCGCAAACGTGTTCACAAACGTGCTGCCGTGAAAATCCACACATTTGCGGGATAGTGAGGAAGTGACAACTATTCCAGTGCCTAATCGTGCTGATAAACAGGCGACAGTGCTAGGAGTTGTGCGGAAAGAGTGCAGAGAAGCGCTGATACGGCGCACACAGGCGAACATTCCGCGGCGGCCGTGTAGGGGAAGTGCGGGTGTGTTGGTGCAGAGCCCGCCATTGACTCTTTTGACATTCAAAACTCGCAGTCAGTCAGTTATAGATCGTCGCTCTGTGAAAAGCACATGTTTGCGACACTTTCCACGTAATTTCACTATATATTGGAAATCTCAGTAAGAAGCAGAACAAGTAGAAAAATCCCAATCGTCACACTTGACGCGTGTTTGTGGATAAATCCAATTGTTGTAGGCCAGATATTCTTGCCAAAACCAGAGTTTCAAATAGGGGAAGTTTGATAAAAGTGCGTGAGTTTCTTCTCGGCGAGGGCGATAATAAATTCCTGCATAATCACACCGCAGAGTTTCTCGCGAGGCAGAGGGCATTCGAACGAGACATCTCGACAATGGCTGCAGATTTAGTTAAACCTGAGGTAATGACGATAATTTGTTATATAAGTAATTAATGCACAATTTGATTGCATAAAGTCCACTTCCTGTCGCCCACAAGTGCTCACCCTCGGCGGAGCACCCGACACTGTGTGTCCCCCCTTTTTGTCCATTGCACACTCCAAATTGCCAGACTCAAGTGCTAAAAATAGCCCACTTAATTTTCCCTCTGAGCGCGGCCGGAATTCCAAAGTGAAACCAAAAGTAGAAGGATAGTTGCAGAAAGAAATGCTGAAGCTTGAAGGCTAATGCGAAGTCACAATTTGGTAATATGCGGAGTTTTGGGGAACAGGAATGCCGTGCTTGGGCGGAAGAAACCAGTTATTCGATTTGTAAATCTCATTCGCATTTTGTCTCACGTCGTGTGCAGAAATTACCAATTCAAAATCAACTTGAGGCTCCCCCCGCCTTTTGGACAAGGATTGTGGCTCGCCTATTATCAAGTTGAAAAATGTGGGCTAACCACCAATCTAATCATAGAGAGGAGAGACTCTGTTAATCTCTCAAGAGCTTCTCATTGTGATATGATTGGTGGTTTTTGCGCAACAAAGAAGTCCAGGAAATGCGATAATCTATACCAGTTCTGGACCTACAGAACTAACCTATAACTCTTGTGATTTACAAGCATCAAACCAGATTTCCAAGTTCTTTTCCGCATTTCGACGGATTTCTCTCGACTATTTTCGACGGCAAAATGTCGAATGTGTGAACCAAGAGTCCACAGCTCAGTCCGATTAGACGCGATGAGATGAAAAAAAGCATCCCATTCAAAAGTCCGGTCTCATGATGACGTCTGGGAGTAGAGGCGACAAGATATCAGAGGCAGGGTCAGTTTTGCTGGAGCCCCTGGCCTTTTTTCCCTCATCTCCCGAGAGAGTGGAATTTTTACGGAATCTTGTGTTGAAAATATTATTGTTGTGCTGTTGAAAAAAAAGAGAGAAACATTCCAGCCTGACCTTTGTATGATTCCACCGAGAGCCAGAGCGCCTGAACAGGGGGGTGTGTGTGGCAATTGAAAGGGAATCGGAGTGCTGAGGAGAGCGAAAATCGATAGGTTGTGGGAAAAAGGGCTCGTCTCGGGCATAACCTCAACACACAGAAGCAGCATTTGTTATGTGTGGCCTCAAGAGTGAGTCAATAGTCGACCGAGATGGCGCGAGTCACGAGACTGTGGCCATGAGATGGAGCGAGATGGCGCGCTGCTGACGTCATGAAGCACACCGCCAACTGAGAGGCTTTGCCTCCGCAACGAGCGATTTTCTTTTCCAAAGCGCATAAGCAGCACACCGAGGGACGTGTAGATGAAAGAGAAAGAGCTGCGACTTATGTGGATAGAGTAGAGACATTTTTGGGGGTGTGTCACGAACACCAGTGCACATTATGCTGCACTCCGTGCACACACACACGCACAGCTCGTGCCTACACGTATAGGATGCTCAACTGCGCACAATAGCATTGAGAATTCCAAGCATGCAGAAGTGCGAGGCGAGTAAAATTCACTTGAAATTGTGAAATTTCACAAATGGAGGCGCGTTCGATATTATATACAAGAAAAAAACGAGCGCAAAGCGCGCGAGGAGGCAAAGTCTCGCCAACACACAAGCACGCGCTGAACATTGACACAGAGCGTCTGTGTGATCTAAAATAAGCCCAGAGAGTTTATTTTATATCGCAAACGCAGAGCCATGAATAAAGAGTGCGGAGGAGAAAAAAGACCGCTTTTATATCATCAAGCACACACGCATTACAATTTGACTTTTGAGAGATATTTCAGATTGTTGCCTCCCAATTTGTTATCTCGCCACAGCATTTGGCCTGCAAAGAAACAGAAAAAATGTCTGACTTTTCTCAATGAATTCCCGTTAAAAGCCGCGCTTTTCCATGTCCATGTCGCCAAGACGGGGCCAAGCCCACGTCTGAGAGTGGCTGGCAAAGTGGTGGGGTTGAGTGAAAAATCCACATAGAAATGCAAATTTGTGCTAATGCTGAAGTACAAAAGTGGAAAATGGTAGAAGGAAAGCAAGTTGGAATGAGAATCCAGCGATGAATTAAGCGTGTGATGAACTGTTTTTAATGGTTTTCGAACGTTGACAAACAAAGAGGGGGGGAGAAATATGAAATATGCATTGTCATATTTACAGCTGATGTCGTAGGAAAAGTTGCGATGTGGAAATGCAAGTGGGCGTAACCTTGAAAATATGTGTGTTTTGCATAGGGAAAAACACTGTGATGGGAATTTTATCTCATTTTGCGCAAATGTATCACAAAATGACGCACCAAATTAGACATGTTTGCAAACAATTCATCTGGCAACACTCAATGACTCAATTACGCGCTGATGCAACTATTGAGCGACTTTCTTGGCAGTGGAAAAGAGGCAAATGAGCGAATGTGGATCACGGGAAATATTCCCAGATTATATTGGGTGGGAAAAGCCACAGAAGTTGACATGGTGGAAACAATGAAAAATCAGCACACGGCGGTGAAGCAATAAATTTGCTGACCGGGTGTAATATATTGGGAGATTGATAAGGGAAATTGCGAACACGGTGTTCGGAAAGTGTGTTGAACTGACTTGGCCGTTCGCACACCTTTGACGCAGTTTCTTCTGGAAATTGGCGCAATTTCCATGGAAGTTCACCTGTGTGTGTTTTTTTTGTGTCGATGACAGTCAGAAGTGGATGTAATTGACGGGCGGTGTTTTTTTGTGTCATTGACTGAGAAAAAAGGTGGCGGAACAAAGTGGGAATGAATTGGTGGCAAAATGATTGGAAGTGTGAGAAAAAACTGTTCTTGATCTTTTTTCAAGTGTCCAAAATTGATTGTCATTCCCCTAAAGTTCGAAGAGAACACGCACATGTATGTTCGAAAAAGATATATAGTCTAAAGAAGATCGTTTCTCGGCCATTTTGCACGCCAACAAGAAGGCTGATGAAAGAAGTTGAAATCAGGCCTTCGATGAATTACATTTCTAACTTAAATAACCTCCAGTCACTGTGAATAAAATCCACATTGTCAAAGAGCTTATTTAAACATGATTAGTCGTGCACTTTCTCGCACTTTTTTCAAGTTTAATCTCTTCATATCGCGCAGTCTGCGCAGCCATTGTGGGGAACTTTTGTAACCTTGCCTTGCACTTGGCATTTTCCAGTTTGTCTAATTCTCTTCAAGTCTTAATCGCCGAGTGTGCAAATAATTGCACTCACTGACTTCCTGGATCTTGACAATTTCGTGATCTCTTTGTGGATTTCGCAGAGGTTATCGATTTCATCGCGTCGCTGGGAAAATAATCTTGACGCCGCGGCACTGGATTAGTGGTCGTTATCGTGCGAATGGGAGACTCAATATGCTATTTAATTGCCGTGTGATGGCTTTAATGTGTGCGAGACACACTTGGCGAGAGTTGTGTGAGCTGGAAAAAAAAGAAGACAAACCTCTTGAGTCTCCTCAGTCACCTTGAGTGTCCCTTTCAAGTATCAAGCGTATTTTTTTTCTCTCCACTTTGGAAGCACCAAAATCTGGCTCTGGGCTTTTTTCTCGTGAAATGTTTGGAAGCAAAAGAGTGTTTTGTAGGCTAATAAAAGTGACAATTTAATTGAGATTGCGAGTGTATTAAAATGCTTCAATGGATAATGAATATTTGTGGAAAGGGCGCGAAGAGAAAGACAGAAGGAGTCACAGAATATGTGAGTAATGTCATGAATTGCAGTGTGATGCAATAATAAGCAGAGAAAAAATTACACTGTGTGCCGCAAGATAAAATTCCATCTCGCGAGAGTTTGCCGTTGAGCAAAAACAATCACAAGGATTTAAAGTGTGTGTCGTCATGAATTGTACACCTTCAGTTGTGAGAAATGACATTGAAATTATTCGTGTATAAATATAGATTCAACAGTGCGAATTAATTTAATCTCTCTCTCAGCATTAATTGTCGCCTGAGAAATGCTTGAGAGTGATTTTAATCAATGCACTCGTAAGCAAACAGGTAGTCAATCACCTGCTAATGTATATCTTAACTACGAGACTTCCATCCAGATTAAGTTCAAGAACGTTGAACTATTATTATTATTCTTGCTATCGAGGCAGAATCTTCGTGTGAATTGCATTTTCTTGCGACGCATTAATGCAAGTGCGCCGCTTATCGGTTTTGGTTTTATTGGCATTTTTGCGAAAAGTGGAGCAACACAGAAGAGGCAATAAAATCCACAACTTTCAACCTTTAACATTGACTTTGCAATCTATGGTGATACTTAAGTTCCAATTCATCACAAATCCTCCAATCATTCTCTGTTTGTTATATATTGAGATGTGAGAGGAATTCTTTTCGGCAATCATTTCTGGCCTCCGTCGCGGCGATAAGATATGGGAAAAATGCCGAAAAAAGCGACGATAAAAGGTGTGGCAAATTTCCTTATCATCGCCAATGATATTATGAGGTGTAATTTTGACGGTGCACTTTTGCTTTATGACTAACACGCGGGCCAAGAGTCCTCTCTGAATTGCGCTCTCCATATTTCATTTCGCGCCCCCGCGCTTTATCAGCTCTGTCTCTCTCTCTCTCTCTCTGGAGTTGAAGGAAATTCACGGAGTGATAAGGAGGTGAAGCAGTGTTCTTGGAAGTAATATTCTTATCACTCTTTCTCCTGGTTTTTTCCCACAACACAAGCGGAACATATGCTCGTTAAAAAGCCAATATAATTGGCGAATAAAGTCTATCGAGACTTTCTTGTTTGACCATTCTGAGAAATCGCCAATGAGCTCAATCGATAAGGATGATTTCTTGGAATAAACCTTGTCTTATTGATACAATATACAAAAAATGAGTGGAGAAAAATTCCATCGAATGTTTGTGTGCAAGTATAAAACCTTCCAGTTTGTTGTGAACAAATGTTTAGAGGAAATTAACACACTGCAGATGGCTTAAGGCCAGGAAAGATTTGTTGGCACAGTGATTTGGTCACATCTGCAGTCGCTGTGAATTAAGATTGTTTGCATTATATATTTGAGAGATGATAAGAAATTGTATAAAGCACTGCAATAATAATTAATTTCGCAGTAAATAATAAAGTGCAGAAATGGAAATGTGTAATTTTTATGCTCTATTTATCGAGAATTGTTGTGTCTGAACTATGAAAGAAACTGAGATTTCTCAGTAAGAACTGGTTTTCTGGAAAAACTCTGATGAAAATACTCAATTTTATGACATTTATTTTTGATATTATATCAATTGAATCACACAATTTCGGTCATCTTGAGAAACTTGTTCAAATTTCATCAGATTTCATGAGATTTCGTCATAATTGACCAATTTTCTCCCTTTGCAGATCAAGAAGCAGTGCGAAGAGCTGATTCTCACGGATGAGAAGACGAAGCTGTTCATGTCACGACTGCTGGACGAGATCAACAGAGGCCTGAAGAAGGAGACTCACGCGGATGCGGACATCAAGTGCTTCGTCACGTACGTGCAGGATCTGCCGAATGGCAAAGGTGAGTGTTTTTGGGCCACAAAGTCATGAACATTGAATCTGAGCATTGATCGTCAACATTTCGCTGCAGAGACTGGAAAATTCCTGGCACTGGATTTGGGCGGAACGAACTTCCGCGTGCTGCTGATCCATCTCAAGGGTGAGAATGAGTTCGAGATGCTGTCCAAGATCTACGCCATCCCGAAGACTATCATGGTGGGCACGGGAAAGCAGCTCTTCGATCACATTGCCGAGTGCTTGGCCAATTTCATGAAGGTTTGTCTTTCCTTACGTGATTTCGTCGTGCAAATTCACATGAAAATCGAGTTGACAGTCAAATTGATGCTATTTTTCTTTAAAGCCTTGAGAAATAAGATTATTTTGAGAAGAATTTCCAGTGTCTTTAGAAATAAATTAATTTGAGTTTTTGGCTTAAATCAAGTCCTTTTCGGTCTAAAATAACTGATTTTTATAATATTTCATCGTTTATCCTTAAAAAAGGCTATATTTAAGTGAAAATGCAGTAGATTTTATCAGAAGAAACTTATTTCTTGCTTTGCCAGGAACACAATGTGTACAGCGAGCGACTTCCTCTGGGCTTCACGTTCTCCTTCCCACTCACACAGCTCGGACTGACGAAGGGAATCCTGGCGCGATGGACGAAGGGCTTCGATTGCGACGGTGTTGTTGGCGTTGATGTTGTGCAGCTGCTGAAGGATGCAATTGCGAGACGAGGAGTGAGTTTCTGTGCTTTGCTGTTCACATTTGAATTTCTACTGTTTTTGATGAGTTTGTTTTTCAGTTACAATGCCGACTTTTTAATGGAAAGCTCTTATCTTTTTTATTGTTTTCTCTCTCTCTCTCTATTGTGAAATTAGGATGTTAAGATATTGGTGTTGGGAATTCTCAATGATGCCACTGGAACGCTAATGTCATGCGCCCACAGAAATCACAATTGCCAAATAGGTGTGATTGTGGGTAAGGAAAAGAACAAATCCTTGATTTTTAGATTGATTCTCTCTAATTTTATGGAACTTTTATATGACATTCTTGGCAGAGAAAGTTGTCAATGGAGGAGAATAATATTTGGCATAAATTTGGCTTGAGAAATTGGCTGTTGAGAGAAGCTTTTGACTCTTTCTTCTTACAAAAATCCATCACCATTCATTACGGACAAAAAATGCATTCAATGGGATTTCCGATTAATTGTGATCTACACATTATCTCCATTGACTGGGTGTCTGGTCGTGCTTGAGACTTTTTTTTCTGCTCTTTCGGGGTCAATGAAGTCGAGAACGCAAGAGAGCGTGAATTTTGGACGCGATTGATCAGTCAGCGAGAAGTTGACGCCTTCAATTCTTTCTATCTTGCGAATGTCTTTTGCACAGTGCGCTGAATATTGTATAAATATTTTTATTTCCTTGACAATCTTGATGACCATAAAGAGTCTTTTGATAAGAAGCATGCAATCCCATTAAAAAGTCTTTATTGCTCCTTTATCGCCCACTTGTATCATCATAATTCCCTTGTCGCGCCTTCAAGTGACATCTGACTATTATTATCGGATTTTGCTCAATTGGATTTTTCCGCCTCTTTCTCCTCTCTCAGGACGTGCAAATCGACGTGTGTGCAATTCTTAATGACACGACGGGTACATTGATGTCTTGTGCATGGAAAAATCACAATACAAAGATTGGATTAATTGTTGGTACGTTTCTCTACGAAATTTACTCTCTTTTCTTCGTGTGGTTTTACTGGTATTCCTGGTAAATGCATGCGGAATGATTGCCATTCAATGTCTTTATTTATTCATGTGTTTATTATTATTGCTTTTTTGGGTTTCACAACAACCACATTTAATTTCTCATTCATTTTCTCACCAACTGAGATGACAGTGAAGTGCAGAGATGAGTAATTGAACTGTTGATCTATTCAGAAACACATTTTGAGAAATCTACTTGAAATTCTTACAATAAATCGTCTTTTTTCAGTCTCTCTTTGTCTACGCTTAACCTAAAATCATATTAAAAGACAATTATAAGTAGAATTTCCTGTACTTTGAGTAGCGTGACATCTTAATGACATGTTTTGTGTTATCTGGCATGAACACAATGTTTGATGTTGTTAATAATGACTTAGTTATTTCATTGAAAAGGTTAAACAGATCAGATAACAGATTGTTTTTTATGCTGATTAATTTTTCTTCCATCGGAAAATACTCTATGCACTTCAATTATTCACTTCTGCTCTTTTTTTATGCATATTTCACCTGTTAATAGTGTGGCACAAAATGACTCGAGACAAATAATTATTTTTCGTGTGTAAAAAATAATTACTAATCATGATTCTTTCTGCCATTCCGTCTGTGCATGTGGCGAGAGAGTAGCGATTTCGTGTGTGTGTTTTTTTGCACTCTCTAGCGCTTGGAATTGCAGAAAAACAATGCTAACAAGCTTCACAAGTTAAATTACGCTTTGCATTTAATACAGTCATTAGGTGAGAAATGTCGCTGAGAGATAAAATTGATGAGGTTTTTCTCTGTGAATCCAGGAACTGGAAGCAATGCTTGTTACGTGGAAAAGGTGGAGAATGCTGAGCTGTTTGATGTGCCAAATAACAAGAAGCCACATGTGCTGATCAACACCGAGTGGGGCGCTTTTGGTGACAATGGCGCACTGGACTTTGTGCGGACGGAGTTCGATCGGGAGATGGACGAGTACAGCATCAATCCGGGAAAGCAATTGTGAGTGCTGAGAGGTTTTTATTGCCGTGTGAACAGAGATTTGACGCTGCGCTTCTGTGTCTTTTCAGACAGGAGAAAATGATCTCGGGCATGTATTTGGGCGAATTGGCGCGTCTTGTCATCCAGAAGTTCACGAAGAGCGGTCACTTGTTCGGCGGCCAAGGGTCAGAATTGCTGTACAAGCGGTGGAAGTTCTTCACCAAGTACGTGTCTGAAATTGAGTCCGACAATGCCGGATCGTTCAACAACTGTCGCGAAGTGATGGAGGAATTGGGCTTGGGACATGCCACGGATCAGGATTGTGCCAATGTGCGATATATCTGCGAGTGCGTGTCACGCAGAGCGGCGCATCTCGTGTCGGCCGGCATTTCGGCGCTCATCAATAAGATGGGAGAACCCGTAGTCACAGTGAGTATAGAGAATGTCTTAGCAAGGGGCAGATAATGTGGTCAGAAGATAATCAATTATTGCACAGAAATTGGAAGTCAATTCTTGGTCGCGTCTTGATTATATTGTTGAGGTTATGTGACGTAGAAAACACCCTAAAATTGAAATTCTTGCACGGTAAATCAAATAATTTCCACTTGTTAATAAAATTGCGCATTTGTACTCAATAAAAATTGCAATTTTGGAGTTGAGTCGAAAGAAAACCTTGCTAAATTCAAACATAACCTAAAATCGTAACTTCAAAGCAACGATTTTGTGATAGGAAGATGCAAATTAAACTTCTCTAAGCATATTCTGCATCACTTAAAGATCATGGTAAAGAAAGATATCTCTTAGAGTACAATTGAAAGCGAAAATTCAGTTAGTTTTCAGTTGATTTTCAGTTTGATGAAAGCAAAAAGACGGGAAAATGTGTCATATTGACGGTGATTTATTCATTTGTGGTCAAAATAGCCTCAAATCCTTGCGAGTGTTAAGAACTTCTCTTAGCCAATTTGAAGCCAACGGTTGCATTCTAAGTTAAGAGACACGACAGATTTCTCATTGAATCTTCTCTTATGTCTTCTCTTAAGGTCGGCGTTGATGGCTCTGTTTATCGTTTCCACCCGAAATTCCACGATCTGATGATGGAGAAGATGAAGCAATATGTGACGCCTGGCATCAGCTTCGACCTCATGCTCTCGGAAGATGGATCAGGACGCGGAGCGGCACTCGTGGCGGCGGTGGCGTCGCGTGAGAATCACTAGAGAAAGAAAGAAATAACCCACAAAATTCACATTGTAAATACGGGAAGAAAAAAAAAATCTATGGAGATTGAATTTATCGATCATATTTGGATAAGAATTTCAATTCCGGTTTGGCTTTAAAAGTGTGACGAAAGAGTGGAAGGAAAAAGACAGACGCTTTACTAAGTTTTTGTAGATTTGTTATCAGCCGAAATACAAGAGTGAATGAATTATAATCCAATCAATTTGAGATTGTGCCATTGATTTGTTGCACCCCTCCAAAAGAAAAAAAAGAAAAGAAAGCAAAGAAAATTCTCATTAAAACAAGTTTGTATAAAAATATAACGGAAAGACAATACTTTTAAACTAAAAAACAAGAGGAAAACAACATAGCAGAGAAAAACCATAGATTGTAATAGTGAATTATTATTTCATAGCAATATATCATTTCACTTTTATCCATTCTAATCATACTTCAGTGTAGATGAGACGATAAGAAGTGCTGCAGAAAATTTCACGGAGAAACTGTGAGGCGAGATGTAACTTTTAATTTAAGATTATTGTATGAGTTTTTTTTTTTGGGAAAATACTTAAATTGGTTATCAAAAATATTGCTTACATTCTAAGGTCTTTTACTATGTAATTGTATCTTTTGTTAAGTAGCCTTAGAGGATTAATTATTATGTTGAGAGAAATGGAAGCATATATGATGAATTTTTTTTTCTATTATTCGGTTGCTAATGACAAAATTTATAATCTAAATTGTATAATCTTTTATCTCTATTAGGCAATTTTTATTTAAGTGAATCTACTATGAAAAGCAGTCAATGAGATCTCTTAAGAGATTATCACTAATTTTGTCACTTTTGAGATGATTTAATTGACCTTTTAATTAGTTTTTAAAAGAAATATGTACAATAATAAAATCACTATGTTTGTAGAAAAGGAAACTGTCTTTTTATGACGCAATCTTCTGAATGATGAAAAGTTTCTACGATTTTCACCATTTATATGCGGGAAAAATACTGAAATAGAATAATCAATCATTCAATAATTCATAAAATAATCAACATTCTGCTGTCCTCACGATCAATACTCCTCGTCAATGTGCACTCGAGTCTGTAGTGGGCTTTATGCCGGCCTCTGGAAGATCTCCAACACAGCGAGAGCGAAGCGCGCGTGCATCGATGCGAAGGCACTGGAGATGTGTGTAAGTTCACATCTGCCACTTCTCATGGATGTTGTATGCATCTCCCGTCAGTCACGCCAGTGTGTCCGGAGTCGCCACATCGTTTGACAAAACACACCATCGTGACTCGGCGGCGCGAACGGAGGTGCGCAGAGCGTGGCTAATGGCGGGGAAAGTGCCATGTGACGCGTGAGTTGTGTCAAGAGCGTGCGACAGTCATTCAACCTACACCCGCACTTGAACCAACACACCTTGTGCTCTCTGGCGAGAAAATGCGTTCTTTCCGGGAGCAGAGACTGTGATACCTGTGAGCCAAAGACGTGTTGTGATCATTGTAATCAACATCGAGCAGTTGCGTGACGAATAGACTGGAAAAGTGTTTCGCAGAAGTGATTTCCAGCGCTGTGTCTCTCTTAAAAGGTGGTTCTTTTTTTTGCCCGTGCTTCTCAGTCACTTCAGTGGTGGTCATTTGGGGCACTTGCCCTAATTCGTGGAATCTCTTTCGCCCCCATTTGCAATGAAATATTACTGTCGCATTGGTGTTTGGACTAAAATCAATAGGCTCCATTGGCGCATATTCCCAGGAACGAGTGCTGAAAATACACTCTTTTCGTGCACCATTCATGTGAAAAACACACCAAAAGCCTTCCGTGGATTAGGAAAAAGTTCTTTGAGGGGATATTAAAAATTAAATTTCTCTCTCTAACCTCAAAAAAGGAGAGAGAAGAGCCAGTGTGACTGGCAGGAATGAGGGTTCAGAGAATTTAAACATCCTACAAGAGCGAGGTAGCGTAACTCCGTGTGTTTTGTACACTGAGAGTCAAAGCCAAGTCGAAGATAATTATCTGAATGGCAGCGTAGCAAATGTGTGATCATCAATCAGCGATACAATGTTGATCACAATGAAATTTATTGGCACACTCAGTATCGGATTATTCTTTCACATGTTTTTGCCGACATTGTGGCAGAATAATCAGAGTAATTGAAGCGGAATGCGGCAGAAGCTCCGCCCATTTGTATGCTCCGCCCATTTTGCTGCACTTGCATGAAAATTCATCTCACAAATCGTGTTCTAGTCATTCTAGATTGATTTTCAAATCAGATTTCAAAGTAATATTGTCTGAATGAACCTTGAAAGATCATTGATGCGATTTCGAGCGTGATCGAGACACATAACAACACCAGAAAGTCTATTGACTCTTATTATCATCACGTCTGATGCTCTCGCCATGCTTGCTGCAGATTTAAATTGATCCTAATGAAGAGAACTCTTTTTTTCTGCTGAAAAACTAGTAGTTTTCCGAAGTTATTGTGCCTGAGTGCTCGCGTCTTATCTCAATCTCTTGCCATTCTCTCGCCATGTGACTGAGACGGGAGAGCAAGACAGAGTCTGAGATTCTTAGCACACGCACGCACACATAGAGAAAAAGGTCGCCCAAGAATAGAACATTTTCGGAATCTGTGGAACGTGTTAAAAGAAGTCGTGAAAAAGTCATCCCCTCTCGGAACTCCTTCCACACACACCGCGTCCTCACTCTCTCCCGTGCCACACATGCGCTCTTCGCGCACAAGAATCATCCCATGTCGTGACGTCACGCGGCACCGGTCGCCGTCGTCCCTTCTGAGACGGTCCGCCACGGGACGAAGTGACACGTGAAGTTACCTTTCAGCACTGCCGAGATATGAGCATTTCTCCATCATTCCAACCAAAAGACACCTCAAGTGGGCAATCAGTTGAGTGAAGAAGGCATGAGAAAGTGTTGAGTGCAGACAAGGAAGCAGAGACATTTTTCCGCGGAGAAAAGGACATCAGGGACATCATGACGAATCTCACGCATTTACGTAAGTAGACTTTTGTGCCGTTGAGATTGTGTGGATGCTGGAAAAAGGGGGCCACTGGACTTTGGATGAGAGTCAGAGACGAGTTGATAAAGTGTGGCGACAAACAATTCCCAAATAGCAGAGTTGATATTAGTCTGGTGAATGTTCAACTCTCCGTGTGATAATGAGTGTGTCTGTCTCCCTGGTGGATGCCATCATTTGTGCTTAGGCACTTGCCGAAGACCCACAATTTCCCCGAGAGTGTGTGGAGCTTCTCTCAAGTGCGTTGGACGCTTCCCGGAAGCACCTGCGATCCGTCCTAATTGTCTGTTTGTCTTCCGCAGTGGAGGAGGTGGACGGATACCTCCACTACCTGGGCGGACCGGCCGGGGCCATCGCTCTGACGGGCATCGCGGCGGCGTCAGCCTACTACTTCGCCTCGAGGCCATCACCTGAAACACCACTAGTGCCTCTCGACAATCAGAGCCCTATTCTGGAGGTAACGAAAGACATCACCATTAAATATTACCCAAGCGCCGGTGTTTTAAATAATTAAGCCCGCCGCAATCGATACGGAGGTGAAATGGTTTCATTTCAATCACTTCACTCCAATAGACAAAACGTCCTATAATATTGCTCTATTTTGAATAACAATGCAACTAAATGGCCATGCATTGATTTTTCGCGCGCGCGAAGACAGACGCTCAGCCAGGGGGTTTACATAAAGCGGATTTACTCGCGGAAATATCGATCTACACCGTGTCAAAGCATATCATGCAAAATGTGACTGTCTGGCGGAAGAGTGACTGAGTGATTATGGTACGTTTTCCGCAATAAAGGGCTCTTATCGAGTTCCTAAACTGTTTAGTTCAAAATTGACTTTGACCGACAATCCGATTGTCACTAATTGGTTGGAAAATTTTACTTTAGTACTTCAGATAATCATAATGAACACTGTGATAAATAATAAACAGCACTCAATCGCATTTCTCTGCCAGTAAACAAATATATTTTCTACTCTTGTTAACCCTTTGCTGAAAATATTCCATTCAATTTGGGAAGTCTGCAAATTTTTATCTCCTCAATTTATCTCTCTTCATTCAGTAGAGAAGGTAAATATTGTGGTCGTTTGCCTTAAATCATGAGCTCTTGTGTGGAAATTTCACATGAAAGAGTCCAAAGAGTCATATTTCCAATCGCCCAACGTTTATTTGAAGCACATAAATAATGTGCATGCATTAACTAATGTAGTTCGTAGGAAAAATACTCATTCGATTCTATATTTTCTCTGGTATTTGCTAGTCATAATATTCTCTGAAGTTTGTTTGCGTGATTAAAAAAATATTCTACAAGAATCCCAATATTGAATAATTCTGGAACATCTCCTGGACAAACGTACGACATTCCATCAGACTAATGAGAGAATGTCACACATTATTCCACTGAAAACTATCTGACAGAAAAGCATTCCAACGTCTTTTGCAACTTTCTTGAGTGATCGTCAGAAGGGGTAAAAAATTGATAAGATTGCATTAAAAAAATGTGCGCAAATGAGCAATTGCGGTCAGATTTAATTACCAGGCATAATAAAAACGATAATAAGAGTACTTACAACTTCCGCCATGCTTTCGCAAATTCGATGGCAATTGATGTCAAGCGTCGATATCATTGATTCGGTAATTGTGCCGTCATAACAAGCAATTGGTGTGAATTTATGAGGCAAAAGCCTCAGTGCATTTTAATTGGCACGAGTCTATTCCTGAACACAGTGTTTCAGTGATTGGATTTTTCCCATCACCACGACGAGCTGACAAACTGACGATATTGCCAGCCTAATGAGAACACTTACTACACTGAGAGCTATTATGGCAGAATCACATGCTCCTCACAGTGTGATCTTGTCTACATCGTGCGGGTATTTTTGTTTACAAAATATCACAAGATGGGCAGTGATTGCAATATAGCCAAAATCATCCAGACCTATAAATAGCTGATGGCCTCTTAGTCATATGACGATGAAATTTATATAGTAACTTTTTCAATTATTTCGGGAATGGTAACTAGGACTTGTCATGTGACTGCAATTTATAGCAGGAAGAGGAGAACGCGCTTCACTGGCGAGGAAGTGCTATTTTAAAAATGCGCATCTCTGACTTATGTGTGAGAGATAGGAAATCAATCAAGTGGTGCTAAATGATCATTCGTCACTGACAATGCAGTTTGGGCTGTTTAATTGAGTTCGGCAGCCCAGTAAATTAGGTGTTTCGCACGCGATCACCGATCATCGATCGCAACTTCCTCGTTGGCTATGATCTTCTTGGCAGAGAGAAGCATCTTCGAAGTCGCTGCACGATTAATATTGTCGGTCTTACACGATCGCCACGGTTTTATTTCGATGCCAGCTGTTGGCAGTTTCTGTTTGGCCATCGGACCACTTAGACTAACCAGAGAACATCTTCGGTTATGAGCCTCATAAAAACGCGCGACGCTCTCTTTTCGATTCGTGTCTTCAATGGCCATTGAGGCGATTGCATTGTGCAAAAAAGTGACTTAATGGACTGTGGTGGGACTTTTCTCTCTCTAAACTCTGTTTAAATTCAAATTATTTCGGGAAGGTGTGATCCCGCGAGAAGGCTTTGACTCCGCTTTTTTTTTCAAGCATTATTATTAGATCCATTGAGTGGTTTCAGTGTCTCCGACGACTTGTGTCTAATTCGGTTCACCCAGATCTTTATATTAAACTGTGTGTCTGTGCGACAACCTTTTCCCACTTACATAACATGACCACCTCAATGGATTCGTGAGGGAAAATGCCCTCAGCCGGAAATTTGCCCAAGTGATATTGCAAGAAGTTGTGAATTAGGAGGTTAATTTCTCTGCAAACAATCCCCCGGATAGGAGAGAAAAAACACGCAATTCAAGATGCCTTGCTGCAAATCTGTTGAGCCTCTTTGGCCACCAATCGACATGTCCAAGCAGTCGGATGTGATGAAGGTAAGCAGACCGTCTGCTCATCCTTGACCACTTCTCCGCGATGATCATCCCGAAAGGTGATCAAGCGCGATGAGAATTTTTAAACAACTGAAGATCGTGGGCAAAAACTTGATAGAATTGTGAGTGTGTAATTTGGCCACTTGCCAAATATTCTTACCACAACTGAAATATTCTCTGCACATTTCGCGGACTTTTTATTCTTCGTGTAAATAGAAGAGAAAGTTGATTTATACAATCATCACCCGGGAAAACTCGATAAAATATTTATGCCTAAATTGAGCAGATTTCCCATAAATCATTCACTAATCATGACGAAAAGTGTGAATGGAATTGGAACACTTGCGTGGACTTTGGACGTGTTATTTCTGGAAAATTTGGTGTAAGAAAAAGAAAAACATCTCATCTGAAGTATAAATTTGTGAAAATGTCACAATGCTTTGGGGGAAATGTATGACGTTTAGTCCGTTGTGTCTTAAGACAAAGTGAGAAACTTTATAGGGTTGAACTTAAGAGATTTTTTTTTTATTAGAAAGCAAGATTTGATGATTTTAATGAATATTCTTCAGTAGAGAATATTGTTAATTGGGAAAATTCGGGAAAATTGAGGGAATTGACAAAAACAAGATGTTTTTAATGTATTATTAGCAGAAATTCTTCAGAATGTTGGGGAAATCAATCGCCCAGTCAATCAGCAATCAAGTTTATTGCATTCTGCGGCATGAGTTAGTAAATGTCAGGTCGTGAGTTATGGTTTTTGAGTAAATAGCGGCGGTTATTGTAGGGAATTTTCGCCCATGACGCACGTTCCTCATCCAAACACCCATAAATATGCGATTCTCACCCAATAAGCATCTGGGAGATGTCTTGGAGCCGGTGTATTTTGGCATAGATCAAAAAGAGTAATTGCGGCGATCATTAAATCTCGCGGTGCGAACACTTTAAACAGGATGTCTTAATGAGTGTCGGATTTCACGCACTTTGCAGGGTCCGGAGCAGATTCACGTGTCCAAGTTCTACAAGGAGTCGAAGACGGGCAAGTTCGTCAGCTACATCACGGAGGACGCCACGACGCTGTACGAGACGTTCAGGAAGGGCGTGTACGCGTCCAACAACGGACCCTGTCTGGGCTGGCGGGAGAACCTCGCGTCGCCCTATCAGTGGATCAACTTCAATGAGACGCTGCTGCGCGCCAAGAACTTCGGCTCGGGCCTGATCTCGCTGGGCCTGCAGCCGCACAATCTCGTGGGCATCTACTCGCAGAACCGGCCGGAGTGGATCCTGCTGGAGCAGGGCGCCTACTGCTACAGCCTGGTCATCGTGCCGCTGTATGACACGCTGGGTCCGGACGCGTGCGCCTTCATCATCAAGCAGACGGACATGGCCGTGGTGGTGGTGGAGGACGACAAGAAGGCCAACCTGCTGCTGGACAAGAGCCCGCGGACGCTGCGCAAGATCGTGGCCATCAAGCCCATGCGGCCGGCGACACAGCAGAGGGCGCGCAACCGCGGCATCGACATCTTCTCCTTCGACGAGGTGGAGAAGATGGGCGCCCAGCGGGCGCACGCCGAAGTGCCGCCGCAGCCCCAGGACCTCTGCACGGTGTGCTACACCTCGGGCACCACCGGCAATCCCAAGGGCGTCATGCTCACGCACCAGAACGTGGTGGCGGGTGTGTGCGCTGTGCTCCTGCAACTCGGTAAACACCCAGAAACTCCCTCTTAACCACCCTTAACTAGTTACTAATCCTCCTTCACTCTCTCCGCAGGTGACCATCGACCACGGGTGGGAGACGTGATGCTCTCTTTCCTGCCGCTGGCGCACATGCTGGAGCGATGCTGCGAGAATGGCGTTTACTACTCAGGCGGAGCCGTTGGCTTCTACTCTGGCGACATCCGGGAGTTGAACAATGACCTGAAGGCCCTGCGGCCCACGGTGATGCCGGCCGTGCCGCGACTCCTCAATCGCGTATACGACAAAATTCAGAACGAAATTGGGCAGTCTGGCCTCAAGAAGATGATCTTCAACATGGCGCTCAGGTCCAAGGAGGCGGATCTCAAGCGCGGCATCCTGCGGCGGAACAGCGTGTGGGACAAGCTGGTGTTCAAGAAGGTGCAGGAAGCATTCGGCGGGAATCTCAGGCTCATGGTTGTTGGGTAAGTCACGAGTTTAAGAAAATTGTCGCAGACAAACTTCTTTTATTTTAACCCTCACGAGTCGAGTTGAGTTGTTTATTCGGTTAATTTGATAATATGCATGATTTTGCAGGTCAGCGCCATTGGCGGGAAACGTCCTCACCTTCATTCGTTGCGCCCTGGGTTGCGTGGTGTGCGAGGGCTACGGCCAGACGGAGTGCACGGCCCCCGTGACGCTGACAGTGCAGGGGGACTTCGTGCCGGAGCACGTGGGTCCGCCGGTGGCGTGCAACTGCATCAAGCTGGTGGACGCGCCGGAGATGGAGTACTATGCGCACGAGAGCCAGGGCGAGGTGTGCGTGAAGGGCACGAACGTGTTCGTGGGCTACTACAAGGAGCCCGAGAAGACGGAGGAGGTGATCGACGAGGACGGGTGGCACCACACCGGCGACATCGGGATGTGGCTCCCGAACGGCACGCTGAAGATCATCGATAGGCGGAAGCACATCTTCAAGCTCAGCCAGGGGGAGTACATTGTGCCTGAGAAGATTGAAAATATCTACTTGCGAAGTCAGTACGTGGAGCAAGTGTTTGTCTATGGAGAGAGTCTCAAGGTAGGCTTCCCCGGGCTTTCCAGTCGTTGGACGTGAGGTTAAAATGAGGCTTTGATTGTGTTGCAGAGCTGCATTGTTGCTGTTGTAGTGCCTGATGTGGACGTTCTCAAGTGCTGGGCTCAGGAAAACAACATCCCAGGCACCTTGAGTGTCCTCTGCAATAATCCCAAGATTAAGGAGCTCATCTTCAATGATATGCTGACGTGGGGACGCGAAGGTGGACTCAAGTCATTCGAACAGGTCAGCTTAACACTTTTCCTTGGTAAAATGAAAACACATTCACTGAAAGTAGTCCTTTTGATTCACAGGTGAAGGATATTTACCTTCATCCGGATCCCTTCTCTGTCCAGAATGGCCTCTTGACGCCGACCTTCAAGTCAAAACGTCCGGAACTTAAGAGCTACTTCAAGCCACAACTGGAGGATATGTACAAACAATTAGTCTAATATCACACTTTTCATTCACTGAAATTCTCAATGAGCGGAAAATGCAAAAGTTGTTTGAGAGAAAAAAAAAGTCACATTACTGGACGAAAATTTGAATAAAAAAAAAAAGAATTCTTCTTACACGTTCCTCATGAAAAGATAAAAATCAAGCGAGATATTTGAACTTTGCCTCGAGATCTGATACATAATCAATGCACTGCAATAAGGAATTTTTACCTCCTAGGAAGTGATTGGGTAAACCCAATTGATGCGCGTTCTTGGTTTAGGCACAATTTGTAGGCTGGTTTCAGTTGTTTCTCTAGGGAATTGTCCTGGCTTTGGACCCTAGAATGTTGGCAAGTGATGAAAGTGGTGGAGGTTTTGTTAGGAAGCAAGGTTGTTATAATTTACATAACCGAATTTACCTTTCAATTATATAAATTACCTCCTAAGCATCAAGTAAATTGGTAAATAAATAAATACCTAATTAGTGAGAAATTGTAATGCACTTCGTATTCAAGCGAGAGTTGAGATCTCAGAGATGAAAATGCTAAAATAATGCAATAAATTTCTTTGCCACAACAATTTATAAGACAACACTTTAATGGACTGGTTGACGATATCATTTTTTTCTTCTTTTTCTTTTCTATTGCCAAAAAGCGTTCTGAGCGTTACTTTTCCTGTATTGAATTGTAGAAATCACAATTTAGCATGACGATTGAGTCAATTAAAATCAAGTATTTATATCGTTATATACTTCAAAACGTAAAAAAAACATCAATTAAACCGATTAAAAAACAAACTCTATTTCGAATGTAGAAAATTATTATGTCTTGTGAAAATAATATTGACAATTATTTTGTTTCATATTCAAAATAGTGCAATATTATACTGTTTTTTTTTTTCTTGGTAGAGAATGATAAAATCAAGCAGATCGAAAGAGAGATAATAAAAGATTCACAATAGCAAACAAAAAAAGGTGTAGTGAGAATAATTACTAAATTAACTACTGTAACCAAAACCTAGTTATAGTCTTTAGGTAAAATGTTATTTTATCACTTTTTACGGAAAATGCCTGATAATAAAGTAGATTACTTCAAGAAATGGGTGACAAATTATTTTCCGTATATTGATTTTTGCAATTCTGTGCATCTTAGTTTATCGATTTCGTCAGTGTCGAATTTGATTGAAAGTCAATTGAGGGTTAAGTGGATAAAATTGTGCCGGAGTGTCTTCGCTAAAGGTTTTCTTGCAGAAGTTTCCCTGGGAAAAAGTCTCAAAGCACCGCTAGATGTCTCTGATGACTCTGCGAGTGGACAAAAAAAGTTGTTCTTCTTTTGAGAAGTAAACAATTTTTTCCGTGTTTCTCTCTCTCACCCAATTCTCTTCCTAATGAGATAAGAGGTGCGCACCAGCGTTATCTGTTCATTTGAGGAGCCCAGCACGGGGAGAAAGACATAGAGTTCTCAGCGCGGAAGAGAAGAACAGCCCAAGTATGACTAATAGTTGAAGCACAGCGAGACTAAATTACACTTCAATCGCAGTTGAAAAATTTATGAAAAACATGTCTATATATCGTTTATTGATCATCAATCACTCGTAGCCGTGCTTTCTTTCTCTACCTCTGCTACCGTGCACGAGTTGGGGTCCCTTTCAAACAGCACAAAATGGGTTAAAAAGCGTAGCAATATAAAATTGTTTATTTCAGTTGTGGCAAAAAAAAACTGAGGAGAAGCAGAGAGAGAGAAAGAAAAACGACTGCAGCAATAAAAGGTTTCTTTCTGTACCACCTCGAACGTGTTCTTCGTCTTCGCGTCTCATCCCTTCCTTCGCGTTGACTTTTCCACATATACCTATAGTGTGGTCTTGATGGAAGAAAAAGGCATAATAGTTGTAAACATCTCTCGGTGGAGATATATTAATGATGTAAATATCATAATAACTGTATAGGCTTATCAATTTATATTCAAAAACCTGATATATATATGGAGTTTGGATGAAGAAAACACGGCAAAACCGGATCCCTAGCAAGGTGGGGACTCCTTGAGGTGTAATTCGAATTGCCACACTTTAATTAGGCCTAACAGTTCAACAGCACGCGATTGTTTTGCTTTTTATGCTCTCACCCTTCATCGCTTTCTTCGGAGAAGGTGAAAATTTAGATGGGTCACAGTGTTTCAACAACACCTTAAGACAGAGAGCAACACTCTCCTGAGCAGAATTCTAACAACGTCCATTTACTTCTTTAAAATCTCTTGACCATAGGCTTAATTTGCATTGCGCGCGTCCAACTTTGACTGCAACAAACACAAATGGTCTCTTTTTCTTTCTCTTCATGTGTAAATTTGAGGCAATGAAAAAAACACACACTGATAATTTCTTTCACATTCAGTGCGATAAAAACACCCGAAAGCGGAAAGTTACCAGAAATCCTCCTTTGCCCATGGCTTGAAGGCTCAGTGGAATTTTCCATTCCATGCCTTCTTCCTTTGCCTGACTGCACACATGCAACTGCATTTCACCCCTGAAGACGATAAGTGGCCGATTAGGATATTAAACCCTGTCGAATGTGTTTTTTTCTTCTTTTCTTGTCTTGACCCTCTTCAGGGAAGGGAAGGTGCTCAGAGGGTGCACTCTTGATGGCAATGACTCCGTCCTGGGCAGAAGAAAGTGCGGAAGGAAGTCCGGAAAAGAGGACACAAAGAAATCCGACAGGTAGAAGAAAAGCCGAGGTAAGAGAGTGACCTTAAATTATATATGACATGTTGAACATAATACAGTGTCCTTGTTTTGCATAAACGCTTCTTGGAGAAACAATAGAGTTTCTGTGAAATTCTAGGGAGAATTTGGCGGAAAGAATACTGAAATTAGGGTGCAATTTTACTGAAATCTTACTGAGAGAAGTGAGCTGCGAAATTCACTTCCAGCTCAATATTGAGCTCAGAAAATCGATTTGCTTAGCACTTTCTATCAGCACATCACCCAAATGTACAGGAAAATTCTCTCTCTCTCGCTTCCATCTCTTTTTTTCCTCTTCCAATTTGAGCCTGACTGAGTCCGTTGCTAGGCTTAGCGTAAGTCCCTCAAAGTACACAAATGGAACCTCAATTGATTGAAGTCTCTCCATAGAATGTCTTTTTTTTCAGCACGAAGTGAAGAACAGCTATAGCTGAACCTTGAAAGAGAAGAGCTTATGGTAGAAATCACCTCTTTCTTTATACGATAAATTTTCCACAAGCCCATCCACTTTTATATGTGCCTATATGACAACAAAAATAGTGTGTAAATATGTAAAGTTTGTTTTTGTCCATCTCCATCTCTCGCTTCGCTTATTTACCGGAGGGCGAGTGTGTGCTGAAGGAGAGGGAAGGAAAAAAGAGTGGAAGCAGCGCTGATATCTCTACTTGTTTTTCATGCACAAAGGCTGAAAATGTGCCTGCCTCCCCAACACAAATCAACAGTCCTCACAGGACTTTCTCACACATCCTTTCTGGATGGCAATTTCCTTGGTAATTTCTTCGCGAGCGCGGGGTCACGAAGAAAGCCAGCACTCTCCGATGAAACCTGAATTTCTCCTTTGCCATCGCGGATAAACTGGTTGCTAATTCTCGTACTAATGGAATAATTTCTGTTTAAATCATTTGTTTCATCTCCCTTCTATGCTGCCAATATGTGAGCGCGACGCATTTGTGTGCGCGGCTCTCTTCGCTCTTTTATGTACAAGTTCATCATCGATTTTCTCCTTTAACAGCTGTAATACGGCGTGTGCACCGAGAAGCGACTCACGGCACGCCTTATATCTGGATAAACAAAGGAGGTGAAAATTGAAAGTAGGCAGAATTTCGGCAATTCGGCCAGCGCAGCGCCTTTTAGCGGTCCCTGGGAGGCCCTTTGCCGCCCAATCGGGGAGAATTAGGCTGCAATGGGGGCGAAATGGCGAAAATCTCCCTCTCGGCCTGGCGGACGTGCGTCTGAGCTGACTGCGGCGCCGCGGAGAGTCACAAAGAAGCGATTCGAGCCCCGAGTCACGTCGCTCAATCTCACCATGCGAGCGCCCAATGGTGCCACTCTTGGACTGTTGGTGCGAAAGAGTGCGCCTGTGGCTCAGCTGAGAGTTTCACCGAGAGAGCGCAAGAGAGCTTCGCTGTTGCTAGGGCAGAGAATTGCCTCCTCCCAAAAACCCAGAGCAACAAAGTCGGATGGAAAGCCATCGCGAACAAAGACGACTAATTTAAAAAAGTAGCGTCACCATTTCCATCAGCAATTTTTTTTTTCGTCTTCACCCGGCAATTCATATCCATGCGGCAGAAATTGAGTGTGTGGGCCAGAAATAAATCCCCCCCCAGAATATCGTGTCAATTCATTGGCACTTTTATCGATGGCAGTTCGTGGCATCGCGCGACCACCCCTAATTGATTATCCTCGGCGGTGGTATAAATAGTTGATGAAAAGAAAATAAATTGTCTTGCGCTGCAATGTTGCATATTATTGACCTGGTATTCACCATGGGAAGGCATCCTAGCGCACACACATGCCACAATTCTGGCCAAGTGATGATACAACAATTTAATTTATCCCCATCTCTAAACCAGTCTCAATTGGGTGCCTTATTTAACTCAATCGAATTGTATGCTGGCCGCTCAGCCCTAGAAACCTTCACAACAATTCCCACTTAATCAGCAGAACAAGACTTTATTACTCTGAAGAGGCTCCCAATGAACATGAGTGGCTGAATGTCCCGAGCCTTAATAGATACTCTAGTTTCAATCATAAGCAGAGCCAATGCCTTCACCATAGTTCGCCTTAATCACCTTTGTTCGGCACAATGAATGAGACTAAAACTAGAGCTAGAGATGCATATTGTTTCAATTAATAGAGAGATAATATCATCAATTGCTTGCAATACACATTCAAAGACATGTCTTTTGAATTGTCATCCATTGTCTTGGGATTATCAAGGGACATTCAGGCGAGAGTCTTGTGACAGATTGAGCAAATGCTTCTAGTCATAGTTAAAGGAGCAAATTCACAAATGTTCTAGTTCCAAAAGGAAAGTTCGTCGGAATATCCTATGACATACCTTTGGACAATTGAAGGACTGTCTCTTAAGAGTCAAATGAACACTGTTTCTC